AACCAACTTCCCTCCGCTGACCTGAGCCTTGTCTCTAATTAGGCTGACGAGGGTTTTCCATGCATTTCAAACTGATCTGCAGTCAGCCCGGCACAGTAGCGAGGGAAGAATCAATATTCTGAATTTGTTGTGACCTTGATGTCAGCCTCACATGTTGGTCCTGCATGTTCCTTGTTTTTCTTTTACAGGTGGAGCATGACCCCTCCGACCGTGAATGCATATTACAACCCAACGAAGAATGAGATGGTTCTGCCTGCAGGAATCCTTCAGGCTCCGTTTTACAGTCATTCCTGGCCTAAGTACGTCTTCTGCATCGCATTTCAGGCTCAAACAATCATGGATGGTGGAGCACTGTCTTTAATTCACAGAACCATAAAAGCAGTTTGTGACACTCGGGGCGTCGGGATCAAGCTGGGTCGGGGTCATGCATCTGTTTGGCTCGGGGACACGTGGAGCGGCACGGGTGAGGGGCGGGGCTTCATGGGAGCGCACTTGGTCCTGTCTCGTTCTCGCACACGGTCACTCGCACACATGCAGGGTATGGGGAGAGTTTATTCACTGCTGCTGAAGGACACAAACAGGCGACACAAACGACGAAACAAGAGGTCAGCTGGTCGTGGCTGCTCTTCGCGTTGCGTCCTCCTGCCAAAGAGAGATTGCAGGTCTCACTCAAGCCCTTTAACCCTCTGGTACCGGCCGCCAGGTGTCCTCAATCCCAGCTGATAGACCAAAGGGAAAACCTTAAAGGAACATACACACACCAGAGATAACAAGGCAGGGGTCGTCACACAGTATACAAAAAACATGGTATTAAAACAACAGTGAAGTTTAAATCAATACTAGTTGTAAAAAACATTCTCCACAGGACATTGCCTTTAGCAGCTGTTTTATAACTAAACATGAGTGTCCTGTGGTGAGCAGCAGATATAAAATGGTAATCAGACTGATTTGCTATTCTGTTTTACTTCATTGATTTTCTTTTTGAATATGTATTGATTTGATTACATTTGAATTGCTGATCTGAGATGAGGGCAACGGCAAAAAAGGGGATCGAAAGAACTCACTTTTTCTTTTACACAGATTAAACAAGATATAAATTGGTCGTGCTGGTGTGTGGATTTTGTTTACAGTCTTTTTGCTAAGCCAGCTGTCCTCTGGCTGCAGCTTCATATTGATCAAACCGATATGAGAGTGGTATCAATCTACTTATCTAACTGGCAATAAATTGAACAATGTCAAAAATACTTCCTCAGACACAGTTGCTTTAACCATCTTTGTGGGACATACAAACACGTTGAAATGTAGTCATTGGGGGTCATAAAGGTATCTTTTTTACACTTTTTCAGAGCTCTTAACTTTGGGGGAATTGGCGTCGTCATGGGACATGAACTGACTCATGCTTTTGATGACCAAGGTTGGTGAAAGGCTTTCCATTTTGAACTCTTTACATTTAAATACATGTCAAATAAAACCTTCAATGTCTGTATGCTTGATTTGGCAGAGAATACAGTGACACCTTACACTTTTATTTTTATTTTTTTTAAAGGGAGGGAATACGACAAAGATGGAAACCTGCGTCCCTGGTGGAAGAATTCCTCAGTAGAGGCCTTCAAGAAGCAGACTCATTGCATGGTGGAGCAATACGGAAATTACAGCATCAACAAAGAGCCTCTGAATGGAAGACACACCCTGGGAGAGAACATCGCTGACAACGGTGGACTCAAGGCCGCCTACAAGGTCTGATATCTAATAGGAAGCGTGATTAAAGGGGCCCAATTATGCTTATTTCCATCTACTGTGGTATGTTTACATGCTTTAATGTTAAAAAAGATCTTTGTCTCATACTGCCTGTGCTGCAGCACCTCTTTTCACCCTCTGTCTGAAACCAGAGCCCAGTCTGCTCTGATTGGTTAGCTGGCCGGCTCTGTTGTGATTGGTAAACCGCATAGAAATGTCCCGCCCCTTAGCCTATCATGTCAAATGTGCTAGCCAATAGAAGTGTGTGTTACATAGTGATGTCAATATGTTACGGAAGTAAACAAAGGAGTCCAATTATCCAATTTAGCTTGTGAGGAACATTTACATGCACAAAAACCTATACAACACACTACAGGAAAACACATAATAGATTTTAAGATCTGTGTATTCTTTTAAACAAAGGATTTCAATAGAGGCGTTTCAGGCATGGGAGGGAGAGTGTGGGAGAGAAACTTTCGGATGTCAGCGTTTGCAGAACATTTACATGCACACAAACCTATAAAATGCTAGGGCTTTAATGTTTTTCTGTTTGTGACTTCCATTTAACAATGGAAACACACAATTAAACTCAAAGGAGCATTTAAATTAAGTCTGATCTATTATTATTTATTTGGTTAAGGTCAGACCACTGCTGTTATGTTTACTACTGCAACATTATCAGATTGCATGTTCAAAAGGTCAGAAATCTTACCAGACAGATCCGATTATTATCCCCTGCATTAATTTATTCTTCAAGGCCTTGTGGGTCACATCCATTCATCTGTATTGGAAAAAGCAACTTGTCTGGTTTGCAGCGAAGCCTGGAAATGCAACAGGTGGCTGTGAGTGACCTTGTCAGCCTCTGGTTACTTCTTCGCATGCAGACATTCTTTCCATGTAATGAAAGGTCATATGCTGTGAAGCAGAGGAGCAAATCATATAGAAGTAAAAGCAGCCTGCATTATGTGGCACATGTAAACCAGAGGGAGTTAACACTATGGATCTTCTTTTCCCCCTTGGTGTATCATTTTACACAAGCAAAACAAGGGCCGCATGCTAGTAACAGGATCATTTCTTTTTATTAAGGCTTATGTGAACTGGGTCAAAAAGAATGGTGAGGAGGCCACGCTGCCTGCACTTGGGATGACGAACGATCAGCTATTCTTTGTAGGATTTGCACAGGTTTGTATCCCTCAAATTATTTCCTTTAACTCAATAGTGCTAATATTACTGCTGGTTTTACAACATTTCTTAACGCTACTCTCCAGACACGTTTTAAGACATAACAACTCTTCTACAAATAACAATTTGTGGTTAATCTGATGGGGTTTTAGAGAAATCAACACCCTTTCCCTCTTCTGAAAAATCCATACTGTATAAATCTGCAAAATGTTTCCAATATTTAAATGCTGGAAAGATCCATCTCAGTGTTTGTCCTCTGTAGGTTTTAAGTTTCCTCGTCACACTTGTATACATTGCCTCCTGTACTGCTCCTATGTCAAACTTGGATTCAAGATGAGCACAAACAAACTTTCTTCCTTTGCAAATAAATGTGAAAAAAGCCTACATAAATGACAAGATATTTAAATGAATAACTTCAACCTAACCGGAATAAATTCAGTCCAAACTCTTTATAAATCTCCTTACAATTCTCCATGTTATTTTTTAAAGAGCTAGGCGGAAACATGAATCCCTAATTGTGTGTCTCTGTGTCCTTTATCTTTGCTGCAGGTATGGTGCTCTGTCAGGACACCTGAAAGCTCACATGAAGGCGTCATCACAGATCCTCACAGTCCATCAAGATTCAGAGTCATCGGCACCATCTCCAATTCACAAGAATTCTCAAAGCACTTTGGCTGCAAAGCAGACGCTCCTATGAACCCTAAACACAAGTGTGAGCTTTGGTGATGTTTATCAGCAAGGAGAAAATGGACGTTGGGGAGAAAGGAATGACAAAGTCTCTACTGACGGGGAGCGCAAGAACCACTGAAAGTCCTTCTGCCTTGCCACTTAATGCTTATCAGGATCCTTATCAGGACAGAATGTGCCTGCTTTTCATGCAGGATTGCAATCTTCACTGCTTCTCCAAAAGACCTGTTGGTTTAAGCTAGCAGCTTTCCCTGAATTAAATATAACTATGAATGCGCTTTTTGAACACTGGAAATCCAAAAAATGGTTACAGAAAATGGGTGAACCACTCTCAAATGTTGTCAGCTGCTTGTCACATGTGGTGATAAATAAGCAAAGGGCTGTTTCTTTTTCCTGTAACTTTTCACTGTGCTTAGATCTTCTGCAATTTATTTTTATTGTGTTTTATTTATGTTCACAATTTTTTATATGAAAGTGAACCAGGGACCTGCAAGATTTTTAATCTAATGAAACAGACAGCTCTTAATGTTAATGAAGAATGTTATTATTTGTGTAAAACTACAGTAACTGTAACACCATTTTAAAGCTGAATTACAAATATTTTGTGTACAATCTGGTCAAACTGTTACATTTTATAGAGATGCTGACATGAAATTGTGTTCCGTTGCTGCTGTTTGGAATTAAGACATTTCCTGCAAAACAGTTGCTACTTTTCTTCCTGCAGAATGTATGATCCTTAACAATTATTCAAGATTAAGTGTTTGTCACAAATTATTTTGTATAGTAAAACCAATCTTTAAAAAAACGTTTGTGTCACACATTTGTATTTTTGCGTGAGCTTACATCCACATTTGTTGTTGTACAGAGATGTTATACTAGATTTAATAAAGACTAGGACCCAATGCCCCAGATCACTTAAAATAACAAATTGCAGTACATTTCATGAGGAATTGTCTTGCTGACCTGCAGATGCGAAGCAGCGAGAAGAACGATAGATGGCGCTAATAACACACCCATGTTATAGTCCTGCTGCTGGTGCAGATTACAGTTAAAAACTATACTGTGTAAATAGCTGAATAATGAAGGATTTTGTCCATGCAAACACGCACATTGCTAAAATAATAGTGCAAGTTGATTTGATTAAAATTACTTATTTATTTTGCTTCTTAATGAGCTATTTTGCAATGATCAATTATATGTTGTTATAAATAGTTGTTACTATAATCGTATCATCTAAATTGAAGACACGCAAAACAGCAAGATCAATCAAAAAAGAAAAAAATTGGTATTTCAAAAATGTTGTGGACACATGAGCCATGCCTGCTATCTGTATCTGATTGTAGGTTAGTTGATTAACCGAGCGAATCCGTAGCTGGCCGAGAATTGCCGAATCATCTGTCCTGCCCGGACTGCTGGAAGCGGCCGCAACGCCATGTTGGCGAAGTCTCTCATCTCTGTGAGGAAAAAATGATAGAAAAAATACGCGCCGAGAAGAAAAGGTAGATCGCCAACAGAGGTAGAAGATTGTGGCGATTATTTATTTTTGAAAGAAAAGGAACCGAGCCGGATCCGCGGAGGTTCCGGACGGACGAGGGAGGCTAAACCTCCCACCGTCCCCATGAATAGCACCGCTGATCCGAACAGCGACTTTCCATGAAAAAAATACGTTTGTGTTGCTATTCGTGCTTCGTTATCCCAGTTCGTTAAAGGGATTTGGGGCCTGCTTCAAGAATCTGCTACGCTTGCTCTATGTATGCAAGCTAGGCGTTGTTTGTATCAGTATTTATTAAGGTATTGTTTTTATTTGTTGATTTTTTTGCGATGAGTTTGCCACCGAAAGTGGTCCCCAAAACCGCCGCTGTCGCAGTTAGCGGACCTGGAAGTGGCCCCTCTCCGTCGAGCCAACTGCGGGCTACCCTGACCTCCGTGTCTCTGCCGCCGGGAGCCCCAACAGCTCCTCAGCCTGGTGCTGTACCACCACCTCAGTATCCTTTCACTTGGGTAACATGGACATTGTTTGTGATTTTGTGCATTTCACTCTTATTTTAAGACAGTAACACGCACGCTCTGCTTATTTTATAAGCGGCAGATAACAGGTTTGATGCGGGGATGATGGTTTCGTTTGGAGGGAGCTGGGATGGGAGGGGACAATTCGCTAGCTAAGTATGCTAACGTTAGCTTATCAAGCCGGTTATCAATAAAGCTAACGGAAATGTCAGTTTGGATTTCGGGAGTTCACGCTATGCTATTGTTTCTACTTACGTGTGTGATTTAATAAAGCTGTCACTCGAATATAGTGGGATGCAATCAAATATAGATGAAGTGACATTAATGGGTATATAAAATAGCCATCACCGGCAAGCTATAATGCTTTCCACACCGGTTACCGGCTTTGTTCAGTTACCGTTGCTGGCTAGCAAGGTGCGGTAGCCTAGTTACCGTGCCAGCCTGCTAAGTTAGTGGTAGCCACCATGGCTAGCAATTGTACAACTCAGTGAATGTAAGCAGTAAAGCTTCATTCTTTTCAGGGGGCTCACGTTAGCCTGTATAAGGCACGGTTTGTGGGAATTACACCCCCTTTACATTTAACATGAATTTAGCATTTAAAGAGGTGCTCCTATGCACCTAACCAGGCCTGTCAGTGTTTGGGCCGGTGAGCTCTAATGATGACAGCATGTATAAATTAGTAGTTAAAAAGTATCTTGACAGTGACATAAAGTTTGATATTTACTGTTTGTTTACATTATCAGGTAATACAATTGGGTTATCCCAGAAACCTGTCTCCAAATATGAACTGTAATTCAGTAAATCAGACTTTCAGTGTCGTGGGTTTGTACTGTCATTGCCCCAAAATACACCTTTACCTTTGAGTTGACATAGTGATACACTCACTGTGGTTGTCACCTCCTGTTTTATTGACAGTATGGTGGCACAAGTGAAAGAGAGGATTAGGTTGACGTCTCCTGCCTGTCAGAGACAGAGAGATGTCTTTTGTGATCTGACAGCTTCTGTTGTGGTTTTGGCTTTGGGTTGTGATGTCTCAACCTGATTTCCTGCCACCCAGGATTACAGCCGCCCTGTGTTTCTGACATCTGCAAGGGGCAGTAAGTAGCTGGTTATGGCAGGTGGCAGTATGGAACTGTCTTGCCTAAAGTGTGTTTTTGATTTGTTTGTGGGTTAGCTGAGCAACTCAAGAGCAACACAGAAGATAATAGTCTCTTTATTTGTTGTGCCGTGTCCTCTTTTTACTCTCCAGACTTCTGAAATTTGCTTAACCTACTTTTAGGTGTATGATGTGAAGTGCCTACCAGTTGAGTACATAATTGAACCCTCTTAATTTTCTCAATGAATGCATTGTTAGGCTGGTATAGAAATACATAAACATTAGAAAAAACGAAATGCTCATTTTTTAAAGAAGAGAAATCACAAACATTTTTAATATGTTTTTTTGGTTTGTTCACTCTTGCTAAGCTTTACTTTCACATTGATTAAAGTGATCAGCCTTATATTGGTTATCAACATTATGGAATAACTGACGTCTGGATGAAGTGCTGGCTATTGATCTACTAATGAAATAGTAACTGTGTTGCTGTTAAATGAACAGGGGCAACCCTATGGTAGACGGCATTAAACAGCGTATAGTGGAATAAGATGGCTACATCAATTATTGCTATATTTCTTAAAATGTGATTAAGAGATTAATTAGTCTGTCCTCTTTACTACATTTGACAGAATACATTGGTTGGGAGTTGTATCATAATTCATGACCACAATATAAATGAAATCTAAAATGTCCAATGTTTGGTGAATATGACATTACATCTCCACATGTATGCATATGGGGGAGTGAGGCAAATACACATGGCTACAACTAATAAGGTTCACTTAGCTAATGTACTTTTAATTTAACTTAATGCAACAGCCATGCATGTACTTTTTCTACAAAGTGAATCAATATTAGTCTTGTTTTTGAATAGGTATTGTTTCTATGGTCAATAGCAGTGCTGCTTAGCATTCAGAGCGAGACTTTGGGGCGCTGTTGAATTTTATTAAATGTTAAATGCCATTTAACTATATAACAAAGAGTATGATTTCATTTTTCATGATGTTACTATCTGTGCAGAGGTAGGAGTTACCAGAAAGGTTACATTTTTTTAGATAAAGTTGCAAGAATGTATGCCTTGTACTGGGGCTTCAATGTCATTTCCATGTCCCTATGATAGTCCCAGGATCCTGTTTTAGACAGCACTGCATTTGAATTTCTTGTCATACATGAAAACAACCCCTTTGAGTGTCGCCACTTGTCTGACTCCTCACTCTCTCCAGACACCAGAGGTCAGGACTGTGGGAGCATGTTACGCTCTGTCTGGCCTGGGCTCCTAATGTATGGGAATTCCCACTTGGAGGATGTTGGCGTGTGTGTCTGAGGACTCCTGAGATGCACAGGGGTCCAGAGAAGCAGGGTGGAAAGGGCTTGTATGTGTGCAGTGCGGGGGGGGGGGGGGGGGGGGGGGGTTGTTTCTGTTCCTGGTTGCCAGAGAAACACCCAGCGCATGCGTCTGCTGCTGCACTTGTCAAACAATGGCAGTGCTGCTTAGCATTCAGAGCGAGAGGCCAAGGTGGCGCTTCCCACCATCTGCCAACAAAGGCCCAGGTCACCCAGCCTGCCTTAGCCCCCCCTTATTTCCTTCCATCCCCCCTCAGCTCACCTCACCCCATTGCTCGCCCCCAGCTGAGAAAACTGAGGGCTTCTCCTCATTTCCCCCCTCCTTGCCGCCTCCCTCCAACCCCTCAGCTTTCATGGTACAGCACTTTCATCTCTCTTTGAAGAGGCTAGCTCCTTTTTCTTTCTCACAACTTTGCAAGTTCTTTTTTTAATTCTCTGTCCTAATGATTTCTGTTTGGACAAAAGGAATTTGTCAATAAAAAAACTGAAGTTTAATTTGAACCTGCCAGCCAGGCATACAGTCAGAGCCAGTGTTCGTGTTGATATCCCACTACGTAATGTTGGTACCCAGCTGGCTGGTCACACAGCACTGTAGTAATGTATTTTAGGACAGGTGCGTGCAGCCGCGTTAGAAGATATTCTCATGAGCATACTCACTGTGGGATGTTATAAATAAGCTGCTGAGTTGTTATGAGCCAGCATACAGGACTGTTCTCTACAGAGAGGGAGTGGCCTGTCGAGAAAAGACATTCTGCACCCTGTCAGAGATCTCCCAGGGTTTTTATCTGAAGCGACATAAACACATCATTGCTGCTGTTTTATTCCTCTATCTTGGATCAACGCCTGATAGTTGCTTATCGTTGAAAAAACCCAATATGTTCCTATTTTACTGACATTGATTTCAACTGTTCTTACAACCCTCAGTATTTGCAGTGAACTCTTTGTTTGGCGATCCATCCCACCCACACCAAGATGCTGTGAGGTCCATGGTCAAGTTGAGAATGTTCACATCCACTTGTCAGCAAGTAGTGCTACAACATTTTCCAAACAGTGAAATACTTGTTTTGTAGGAGAAAGAATGAATGCGTTGCTTCAAAATGTACAAATGCAATATTGCATCTACTGTTACGAAACACTGCAGCTAAACAATTGCTTGATTTGTGTGCATCTGCAGTTAAGTTTGCCAACCATTTCTGTCTGTTGTTCTTGTTGATATTCATTTCAGTCCTCGTGGGACTTTCATAGCGAAACTGTAATTTAACTTTGGAACTGTTAGTTAGAACTGATCTCTCTCCTAAATCAACCTGGCAGGTTTTTTTGTTGATGGGTCCGATTTTTAGCACTGGCTAGTAGGGTTGCAAAGGGGCGGAACATTTCCGGTACATTTCCGGAAAGTTTCCATGGGAAGTTAAGCTGGGGAATTTTGGAAATATTCGATGCAAAATTAAACAAAAAACATGACATTTCAACAGATTTCTTTTTTTAAGTAGAAAAGAACAAGTTTTAATAATTTTATTGAACAATTATTTGTTTCATTGAAGAACGAAAACAGGAATGTTGCGTTAAATATTACTCACCCCCCCCCCCAAAAAATGAACAAAAATGCACCCCCCATTCAAAAATCCCCACAAAGTCCCATTCAAAATGTTAAATGAAAAGAGCCCTTCTCCCTCCAAAAAGTCCCATTAAACATGCAAATCTTCCTTCAAGCGATCCTCTGCATTTTTGCTAAACTCTTTCAGTCAACGGGCTCTTCCTGGGCCTCATCAACATCCAACTCGTGAGTCTTCCTCTTCCTGTCACTGTCCAGCCTTGTTGAGGATGGCTCTGTGTCAGGCTCAGAGAGCCTTAGGTTTGCTCGAATGTCAACCAGTTTTTCCACTCTCACATTTGTGAGCCTGTTGTGAACCTTTGTGTGGTCTCAATAGCCATGCAGTAAGCAGTGTGCTATGGCATGGATATTCAAGTGTACTTGAATGGCATCTGTATGTTTTAGTCAAGATTATGCTAAAATATACTTTCCCCAACTATATTTAAGTTCCCTATGAAGAGCCAACCTTCAATTTGGAAAATTCCCAGTTTATTCCCATAAATTCCCGTTAATTCCCATGGAAAGTTTCCATCTTTGAAAATTCCCGGAATTTTGCAACCCTACTGGCTAGTACTGCTGATGTTTCAAACATAAATCATTACCCAGGCGGTATATATCTGGCTGCTGTTTGCCGTCTACCGACCTGTGATTCCGCCTCCGCCGCGATGTCTTAAAGCAAATTCTTAATGTTATTGGCAGTGTGATTTGGATTCTGTAAACTATCACACAATGTCATCAAAATTATGTTTTTCATAATTTCACAATTAGTTTCACAGAAAATGACTAATCCATGCAAAACAAAAGGGCACAGTGTCATTGGCTATGTTTGCTGTCTAAATACCAGGAAGTATTCTTCACTTTTTAACAAACCTTTACAGTGTGTCAGAGATGCAATAGGGGAATCCCTGCTATGGGTTACTGTCTTAAATGATTGGGTCTATAAAAGTGACCAAAAGTAGGGAAACATCTCCATCCTATCTTTCCAAGTATATCTTTCTTTAAATATCATCCCCTCTTGAAATGTCACATTTTCTCGTGTCTGAACCCAAAACTATTCAGTTTAATATGACATACAACAGAAACATATTTCATACATTTAAAAACTGTCATTTCTGCCATTTTTAACAATGAATTCCTTTTTTAAATAGTTTGGAATTACTTTCTGTTGATTGGCTCGTTGACCAATCAAGGCAGCTCTACATTTTGGTAATCTTAACTAAAAGTGAGTTGCAACTTGAATTTACCCATTTAGCAGTGAAATAACATGCAATGCAACTTTATTTATCAATGTAAGGAAATGTGTTAATTATGGTGTATCTCTTTCTGACTCTACCTCCTTTTTTAAAGTACACAGTACTGAATCCCTGTTTCCTTCATTCAAAAAACGTGCGTGTGCAGTGGCCAGTGGGCCATCAGGGAGCAGGAGGGTTTGTGTCTGCACCATCTGGGCCGTCTCTGCTTACTTCCTGTGAATGAACCTACAGAGCCGCTAACTTTGCAAAAACAGAGCTCACCTCTCACTCTGACCCTCTGCTGCCTCTTTTTCATGGATGTTCCATGTGATTCATTCAGGGAAGGGGTTGCAAAATACACAGCTGTAATTCATTGATAGTAGGAGTAATAGCAGATTACAGTTTATTGAGCCGTATCATCCTCAGGATCACACCCCTGCTATTTGTAAGGCTGTATTTCCTCCTGTCTTCCCCCTTCTCTCCCCCTCACATACAATCAGCACATTAGTGGCTTTACAGTAAGCTACTGATGAAGCAGGAGCTAAAGCAGCCCCCCCCTCCTTTCTTAAATGAGGCTTACAGGTCAATGTTGAATCAAGGGCCAAAGGTGAGTGGTTAAAGCTACTTTATGATCTCCTAAGAGAAGAAGCAGGATTGATTTATATTCTGTTCTGGTGGGGGACTTGTTTTAGACCCAAAATGACCTTGTCAAGGATAAACTACACAGAAGCCTATGCTTGTTTAGGAGTTATGAATCCTATTTTAAATGTGAGTTTTCCAAATGTATTTTAAAATGGAAAAAACCTGCTTACAGTGTCATAAGGAACCTGTGTTCCTTTGACTTTAAAGAGGCCCTATTTGGCTTTTTTGGCCTTTTTTTTTCCTGTCATGTTGCGTGTTATATAGGTTTTTGTGCATGTAAATGGTCTGCAAGGGCTAAAATCCCAAAGTTAACGCCAGAGGGATTTCCTCTCACACACACTCCCCCCCCCCAAATTCCCCCCCCCCCCCCCCCCCCCCCCCCTTCTTCACTCACTTCGGTGACACAGTTAAATCACTACGTAACACCTGGCTATTGGCTAGTGCTCCAACACATTGTACGTGAAACGCTAAGGGTAGGGACATCTCTAAGCTGTTGACCAATCACTACAGAGCCGGCCAGTTAAACAATCGGAGCAGACTGGGCTCTGGTTTGAGAAAGATAAATACCTTTTTGAGTCATGTAAGCATGTAAACAAGCACTTTGTATGTAAAAATAGACAAAATACAATTATGAAACCTGGAAATTAGCATAATAGGGCCCCTTTAACTAGCTAGTATCCTTAAGGTGAGGCAATGTTAGGGTTATGCACCTTTTAACCCTCTCTTCTGTACACAGTGTTTCTTCTCAGTCTCAGCGAGGGGTCAAATGTGAATCTCGCCATTAATGTAGTTTTGTCCAATTTGATGTCGCAGGTCATCTTTCAGCCCCACGACTCTCGTATTCCCTGAAGCGGTGTCCCTGCTGTAAGTCTTTAAGTTGACATTGTGCTCGCCTCCTTTCCTCAGGCAGAAAATTCATGGAGATCAAACTAATGACTAATATCTAATTAGTGCGGTCAGCCACTTTCATGGTTGTGCCCGTTACATGCAAAAGAGCCTGACTGAAAAGCTTCCATCTGGTTTACATGCTTGACACTGATGATCCTCAGGACATTTGGTTTTCACCGCGTGATCACCTACCTATGAATAGGAAACATTTTTTTACAAGCAGTTCATCTTAAAACTGCAAAAATAAACGAAGAATGAAATGGTAATAGTGTGGCATAATGGCATAATTGGACATCCACTCTTGCTAACTGTCGGCTATTGAAGGGAGTAGTCGCCAATATTAAAAATGCTATTATATTGAAGTGAGAATTTGCTGCAGTTTGTGTGTAACACTTTTTCAGGCACAGAAACAGAACGATTAAGCTAAATTAAACGATTTTTTTTTAACATATTAATTAGCTTTGTAATTAATTACGTTTAGCATCTGCTTTTGAGTTCCCTCACAACATAACTACTTACAAAAACCTGTCTTTGAGCAATTTAAAGGGGCCCCATTTTGCTCATTTTCAGGTCGATATATGTGTTATGTTCCTCCACATGTTTACATGCTTTAATGTTCAAAAGGTCTTTATTGTTCTCATACAATGCTGCAGCAACTCTTTTCACCCTCTGTCAGAAACCAGAGCCCAGTCTGCTCTGATTGTATGCTGGCCAGCTCTGTTGTGATTGGTCAACCACTTAAAGAGGTCAGTACACTGTATTGGAGCGCTAGCCAATAGAAGCTTGGGTGTTCCATAGTGATGTCATTATGTTACAGAAGTTATCAAAAGAGTCCAATGGAGGCATTTTAGGCAGCGGGGGGGAGTGCGTGGGAGAGAAACTCCCTCTGGGATTTTAGCCTTAGCAGACCATTTACATGCACAAAGACCTAAAGAACAAACTACAGGAAAGGGAAAACCTTAATAAAAACGTTTAACCCTTTAAATGAATCTGATGATTTCAAATTCGACTGCATTTGCAACAATCAGGTCTGCCAAAAATCCCTGGAAGATTTACTGATCTACTTTTGCGTTTGTTTTGCCACTGTTGACAAGAGCCCCCCTCCATTTTAATTCCAGGCGGATGTGTTACTGTTGCTCCAGCAAGTGAAGCCTGGGTATATTTCCCGACACGGTTTCCACACAGAGATCATGTACAGCAGACAGATCAGCTTGCCTCACTTGTTGATACCCCCTCTTAGTGTGACATTCTCTGTCCGTCACCCACCAGACCTCGGTCAAGAATCATTTGCAGTTGAATATTACATTCCCCCCATCTGCTTTGTGGCATTGGATGTACCACAGTAAGAATTTTCACATCAAAAATATATACAACAAGTAGAAGATTTATTTCAGTCTTTCTGGTGATATCACTTTTTGTCATGCACTTTTGGTAAAACAAAGCATCAAATACTGTGTCACCCATATAACAGTATTATTGTGCTCCTCCTCACGTTGACTGTCAGTGTCAGGAGACAGATCCTCTAATTGCTCCTCATTCTGTGTATGTACTGGGTGTGTGTGGGGGTGGGCGTGTTGTTATTCCCCGGCAATGAAACGGACAATACCTCCTGCTGCGCTTCTGCTTTTTTGGATAGCAGCCCTCTTTTAAAGGGATACATCCTTCTCTCCCTCTTGTGTTGTCGGTTAGGAGTAGCGATGCTGGCAGGGGGCCAAGACAGATGACGGCCCCTGCAGACAAGAGCAGAGTAAACTTGCTCAAAGGGCCAGTTTACTCCGTCAGGACAGCTTGTCTAATGGTCTTCGGTTAGCTGAGGGGGCTGTGTCCGATCATTCCTGTAACCTACGATTTGACATTCACACCCACTTACCGGCCTGATTGGCCAGCTGTGCAGAGGTTAGAAAGAACGCTGGGTTTCTCTTCAGCCCTTTTTTTTTTACAAAGAAGCTATTCCTGGCTCTTTTCATGTGAAGAGCTGAGAGCAGCACTGCATTTCTTCCTGGAGAAACTGTCTGAAAATGTGGAATGATATCCCAATTTTTAACCACATTGCATCTCCCCCTTATGACAGCTGGCTTTTCACTCTTGAGTTAGGTCATTCTGAACAACAACAAAAACGTTGGATAGTGTGCGCAGACACATGTCGCACAACCAACTTTCTCTCTAGCAAAACCCTTCCCTGGGGGGGGGGGGCGTGAAAAGGAAGAAAGCCAGACGTTCGGTTTCCCTTAAACCATGTGACTGTGTGTGTGAGAGACTTTCTGTCACGGCCAACTGCCTGAGCAGGTTACTAACCGCAGGGCTTCCCTCTTCTGTCTGGCTATTAGACATTCCCTCTTTTGTCTCCCTTAACATGTGAGTGATGTCTCCCAAGTGAGTCTCATTATTGAATGTTTCAGAAGCCCTAAAGAAAGTTGTCTTCTGTTCTGGTTTCTCTTCAGACAGAGCCCATAGCAATTATAACACCCTGAGTACTATAGGTTTATACAACTGTTGTGGTATTTGTCTTTGACCCTACTATTCCACTTTCAGCATAAGAAAACTGATATTTGATAATGTGTTTCTCTATGCATTTGCAGTTGGCTTATCTCCTGCTGTCCATTTGCCTGAAGTGGTCCAGAAATCCATTTCACATTTTCCCTTTCACACTTGCAAAATGGTGAAGGTACAAAGTGTGCTCTTAGAGATGGGGCATTTTGGGCTAGGGTGGGGTCGGGTGGTGGAAGGATCCTTGAAATCAGAGCCATTGGGCCTTGAGGAAAGCCCTTTGGATCTGGATCAGCTATATATGCATTGCATGAAAACATAGAAATGTAGAACAAAGAAAGTGTTTGCCAAAAACACTTTCACACATACTAAATCAAGTCCCTTAATGTTGTCGAGTCAGCAATATTTAGATTTAACACGATACGATACACTTTGTTGTCCCGTCAGGTCATTTGTTTTGGTCTCGTTACATGACTACATAAAGTATGAAACAAATCAAGGATCTGAGCATCTCTTTTCCCTTACTAAGAGATCTTTTAATGTCCAGTTGTGTTTGAGTTTTCCTAAACGCACCTCTCTCCAGGATCCCTCGGGTTCAGCCACCTCTGGACGACCGGATCTTCCCCTCACAGCCCGGAGTCACTGCAGTCTACAGTGTGAGTCCCTGCCAACAGACCCTCTCCCAAACATATCCACCGGTATGCTGCAGTGCATGCACATCAAAATACACACTCCAGATACAGAATACACACACACAGAGACTTATCTATTGTATGGACTGAATGTAGTTGCAAACATTTGACTGTAAAAACACACACACAGTTGCTAGATTATTAGGTACACCTGGATAAAACTGGCTTATGCAACACTCCCTTTTGTAAAGGTTGCATTGTTTGTTTAAACTGTTAATTAGATATGTTGATTTATGTTAATATTTTAAGCAGTTGCATCTTACCGAGAGGTGTTTCTAGTATTTAGTCTCCCCTCATTGATATGGGCGTACTAAATATTAGAAACTCCTCTCACAGAACAGTATAACCATGATAATGATGCCCTGATGTAGGCTTCATGCCACTCCCACAAGCATCAACGTATGAGGTGATTCTTTGCTGTTTTTCACCTGACCACAGAGCGCCACAGACATTGCTGTTTTTTTGAGGCAGAGCGCCCAACTGAAGTTCAGTGCAGGAGAAACGCACCAGTTTCCTCCTAAGAACATTGTAACCTTTATGAAGGTAGGATTTCTTGCATTTGTTTACAAAGTGTAACCCCCCTTTAAGTGTACCTGATAAACTGGCAACTGAATGTGTGTTGACTTTAAATATGTGTTTGCGGTTTGGTACCATGCAAGATCACAGGGCCTGTAAAACTGCTCGCCACCTCTATATTTTTTATGTTTGTGTCACAATATATTTAAACGCTATTCACAGGCACTGTAAACATGCATCTGTGTGGGGGTTTTATGTATTGCGTAAAGAAGAAGGCATGCTTATTAAGACATTATACTGTGCCCTGACTGCTGGGGAAATGTGTTACCTCAAGGGACCTTTGCCATTCACCGTCTCCCTCCAGGAGTTTATTAACATTTCCTGTATTGTGGTGTGTCATCGTTTGTGTTGTATTTATATATTGTTGAAGGAGTACTATTATTTTTGGCCACAGAAAAAAACAAAAACACATTTCCTCTGAAATGTTGTCCTTGGCTGAACCATGGACTTGCCATTCATGTGTGTCAGTGACCAGCCACACCTACTGTAAAGACCAATAGAAACCTGAAATAGCCTCATCCCTTCCCTCTGAGGACACCAGTCACCATCTGGTAGTGGGCATTATGCTGTGATAAGAGTCATGTTTGCAGACCCTGGTCCTCTAATCAGCCACATGTGCATTTTTCTTTCTACCATACTTGGCTTTGTAAGATAATGATTAGTGGCAACCCCACATTAAATGTTTACTACTGAAATTACAAGAAAGAAATATTGATTTTCCTTTCACTACACATTTTATAGATTTAGTTTTTCTCGACAAAATGAACTGAGCTGGCTCAATAAATATGGTGCTCACTGAGACCTCCTCCACACTGACATTGTAGTGGTCATTTGTGGGGAGAATATAACATCATAGTGAGTGTTTGATTGCCCTGTGCTGACGTTTGATCTTTTATGAGCTTTGTAGTATTCTATAGGATTGCCACTTTGGTTATTTGAAACCACAAAGAAGATGATTTCAGTTATGATTTCTGTTGCACAGCATGTATAGCTGCACCAGAAAAAAGCCGGTGTATGCCTAAAGAGACTGAGATGATCTACTGTAACAACACCACTGGAAACACTGCAGGTTTTAAGAGATGTTCTACCTCTGGAAGTTCATTTTAAATGCGATAGGCTGCAACAATGATGACACTGGTGGAAATAAATCCCATGGCATGAAACGGTTGTTCTCTGCAGTGGATGTAAAGCTTGTACACCCCCTCCCCTCCCCCCTTCTCTTCATGTACAGCTCCATACAGTCGCTTGCCTCCCTTCCCCCACCCCATCACTCTGTATGTCCTCAGAATCTCTCACTGGCCTGGAGCAGTGCAGGCTCCTCCCCTGGCAACAGCAGCTAGATTAGTTGCTACATCCCAGGTCATCTGAGGGAAGTAGGCCACACATAGTTTATGGAGAGAAGCAAAAGGGATTGATCCTATAGAATCTATACAGAGTAGTGTCAGTATATTTGAATACAATGCATTTTAAGGAGAAATCCCTTAATGTTAGTTTTAGCGTTGGAGCTGTGAAAGCTTTAATAGCCGAGTGTGTAAAGAAAAAGAAAAAAAAAGCCTGGCTGGAGAGAACCGTGGGCTGCCCAGCTTTCCTGGCTGTCTCAGTGCCTCCTGCTTTCTTCCTGCTGTATCCTGTCTCAGTCCCTGGTGTGTGTGCGTCTTGCAGCAGAAACAAGCAGCACCTGCAGTGTTGCCAGCCAGCAGCTGCAGCAGCCAGGGCCCATCCCGCCACCAGTCAAATCTCATCTCTTCCTCCTGATAGTGCCCCCCCAGGCTGGGGATGAACCCCTGAGCCCTTTGTTGGCCCATATCGATGAGACTTGTTCGAATGACTCCGTTGCTCTATTGTTTCCGAGGGCACTTCATTTAGGGGTGGGCGATATTGAAAAATATATTATCACGATATTTTTCAAGCATAGACGATAGATAGACGATATATATCACGATATTTTTTCATGTCGGTTATTATGGTTATTTTTCAAGTTACTTAACAGTACAAGCACCTACAAGGTAACAGAAACTAAAACAAAAAGGAGTAACAGACCAAAATAGCATTTCAAGCTGGTTTTATTTCTGAAATGAATCCCTGAATGAACAATTCAACATTTTGATATGGCTTCAAGGCACAGTTTCTCAGTATAAAAATGAACTTTCTGAGGTAGCACTAGCACTAGCGTGTCAAACAACTCGGACTGAACTACCAACACGAAAGCAGAGGTGCGCTGACATTGTGAAATCGATCGGGCTTGATATATGGTGAAATTAAAATCAGTAGGTGAGGCTGGGGGAGCGGGAGGGGAAGAGGCTCTCCGTCCGCTGTCATAGCCCCCTGCGCCACGCACGGAGAGCCTCTTCCCCTCCCGCTCCCCCAGCCGTTCAAATCCAGTTTTGGACAGTCTGCCGTGGTTCCATCCCATTTCAAGTGCTGTTCGAGGCTCGGCGTAACCCTCGGAGCACACTCTCCAATCACAGAGCTTGAGGACTATCACGGGGTTTGTCAAACAGAGCACATGGTGTAGTCCAAACGATAGCTGGGGATTCTGGTTAGTGTAGTGTCTTCTGCTATGGTTTACTCCGAAAAAATATTTGTTTCTCCGAATCGAAGAGGAAAAATACAAAAGCATTGCACACAATTTAAACCAATCAATGTTGTGTAATTAACAAGGATAATCTGGTGTTTTTTAGTCGATGAGTAGTGCAGATATCACTGTAAAATCAATCGACAGTAAGGGGAATACTTACTTCCGGGTGTACAATTCTCCGTTATCCAATGAGAATGGATAACATTGCCTTTTTTAAGGGCAGCCGACACAAACGAATGCCGTGCTTCCATGAGCGTCAAATCCCGACGCAGATGGGAATACATTGTAATCAGTTGAAAGCAGTGGCGAGCCGTGACTTTTATACCTAGGCCCTGGCCTCTGACCCCCCCCCTTCCCTCGAATTATTAAGTCACAGCGTATACTTCAGCGGAATATCAAAACAACGGCCCGGGGTGAAAAACGCATCAATGAAAGCGACCCTCTACCACACAGAACAACACCTGTAAATAACCCTATTTGTGTTTTTTGAAATTGAAAAGGATATTGCATTGTGTTTTGTTACTTTCGTTGCAGTTGTAAGTCTTAAGTGTAATTTGGCATGCTTTTATTTTGAAGGCGAGTTAACGCTGTTGACCGGAAGTTGTTGTTGCTATGGAAACAAGAAAAGTTTCACAGCGGGCGGAACTTGTCATAAAGTCCGCGATAATAACACCCACCCATTTAGAGGGAAGATATGATTGGTCAATTGTACTGTCATTTGACATTACTCTCTCGTTCAGTTACTATAGCTGGGCCCTCTGTGAATTCATAGCTGGACCGCCTGGACGTCCAACAGCTCCTGTCTTCACAGACTCGCAGAGACGAGCTTCTTTCATTTAACCCTTCACATTCCAACAGAAACTGAATAGGCAGATTTGAAGGATTTATTTCTTTGGAAATGTTATTTTTAGGGCCGGGACTTTAACGCGTTAATTAAGATTAATTAATTACACAAAAATTAACGCGTTAAAAAAATTAACGCATTTTAATCGCACTTATTTTTGCACCGCGGAACGTTTCTCACTGGATGAGTTTCAGGCGTACCGATTATACTGGAGCACCAACTAACGTTCATGACTTCAGACAACAACAAACCACAGTGAACAACAGTGGGAAATGTTGTTTTAAAAAACGGACGGATGGAAGCGTCGATAAGAGCACGGTTGTGTGCAAATTATGCAAAAAGGAATTTGCATATCACCGCAGCACATCAAGCCTCAAGTATCACCTCAATGCAAAACATATAGCAGCTAGCGTGGAAGCTAGCGTGGACGTTAGCCTCTTTTATCGCGTTCACACCAAAAAGAGCCGGTACTAAAATGAGTTCATGAGAACCTTTTTACCCCCACGAAAGTCCCTGCTAGAGAGCAGAGAGCTGCTAGAGAGCAGGGACTTTCGTACGGCTCTCTTGTGAGAAAAGAGATATATTTCTGATTGGCTGGGCGGATTGCAAACCACGCCCCGTAAAACTCCCAAAAAGTTTTGTGAATTTTATTATCCTCGCATTAGCATTATTAGCATTAGCATTAGCCCAGCGCAGAAACGCAGAGAGACTAATTTATGGCAACACAAAATAAAACATGGGAGCGGTGGAGATGAGGAGGTGTCGGCGTTCTGGCGATTTACTCGGAAGGCTGCAGGGACTCCCAGCAGCTTCTACTGAAGCAGAAGAAGTGACGTCAGCGGCTTCATTTGCCTAATCCTCCTCCAGGTTCAAAGAGTTCTCATGAACTAAATTCTCATGAACCTTTGTGGGAAAAGTACTGCGGTGTGAATGCGCCTAATGGTATACTAAAATCCATGCGAAAAAAATTGCTTCTCACTGTTCTCAGGTCAAATATTTATATGTGATTAAAAATGCGATTAATTTCGATTAATTAATTACAAAGCCTCTAATTAATTAGATTACTTTTTTTAATCGAGTCCCGGCCCTAGTTATTTTAAATACAATTAAATCAAGTTATTTTGATAAAACTAATGAAAAATATAACTTAAAAAAATATTATTTTTTAAAAATATTATTTTGTAGAATATCTTAGGCCCTCACAGAGGGCCTAGAGGGCCCTCACGGCTCGCCACTGGTTGAAAGCTATTTGCGTCCCTTTATGAAGCTGAAGGAGCCTAGGAACTGCACGCCACGGACACTGACCAAGCGTCGCGCCTGGACGATTATGGAGTGAGAGTGTGTTGGCTAACCCTAACCCTAGCCGGACAGGGGATCGTGTCCGTCTCTGTGGCTTCAGGCTTGATCGCCGTTCAAATGACAGTTTTAATGATCTCAATGGGAATGGTTAGCGTTTCATATGCACGCAAATAAAATTAAAATATTAGCCAACAGAATCAACCAAGACAATAAATGAAGTGCAATACTGTCTGAATCCTGACTAGACAGCTTTAGAGCATGTCTTTCACATCAGTTTTCTTTTTTTCAAGTTTTTTTTTTTTTTTTTTTATCCCGATAGATACGATATCTCTGAAAAAGCATATCGTGGAGACCTAATATCGTCACGACGATATATATCGTCATATCGCCCACCCCTAACTTCATTTGTCACACATGAGTTGGATCGTGATGTGATTGCTTGACCCAGTTATGCCATATGAGGCCCAGGCATCCTTGCACAGCATAGTTGGGCACAGCATGTTGCAGGAGAGGCCAGAGAGTGTCAGTCAACCCCTGCAGACTCCCAAATCACTCTGCAGGTCCTCACCTCTGCACACATACAGGGGCTAATCCTGGAGCTTTAGCTTCATTTAAATTCTTCAACAGGGGAGAGGTCTAATGACCTGTGGAATCCAGATGTTCTTTCTGTTCCTCTTCTGCATCAGTGCATGTGTGTGTGGCATAGTATCTTGTTTTGGGTGTCTGTATATCTAACCTGACTGTTTTATGTGATGCAGGTACCCAGGCACGCTGGCCCTCCTTACACTGCTCATGACATCACAAAGGGACACCCTAACTTGGCGGGCACACCACCCGGCCATGCCCACTCCCCGGCGCTCACTCAGGTATCCCTTCCCACAGCTTCCCAATATCGCTATGCGAAGGGCTGGGAGGCAGGCGGAGGGGTGAGTTTATCAGTGTGTCCGCCTTTAACCTCAATGCATGCTCATGTTTGATCTGTCCATCTGTTTGCTTATTTGTTATGACTTGTGATAGGGCTTGGATACAATTCAACATTACAATTTAGTTTCCCCCGATATAACCCCACCATCACGAACATTAAAATAAAGATAGTCTGATTTACTTATCTGAAAAACATTTGTATTGAATTAATGGAACAGGATTTTGAAATGATAGCATTCTTTTTTTTTCAACAAAAAAGACAAATCAGTCCTAGACAAACATGCATCTCCTGTATTCTTCATACAGTCCTAATTAGTTTAGAGTGCAAACCAAGCATGCATGTTGCTAAATAGAGATCAATACTGGTCAGGGCTGCAGGGCTGATTCATATGGACAAACACGTTTAAGTATGTGACCTGTTTAGATTAAAACTACGTTAGGAAAGCAGTTCGCCCTGAGGATTAACACTGGTTTGAACCCAGTACCCTCTTGCTGTGTGGTTGTAGTGCTAACCCGCAGGGAGTAATGTTATGATGTCTAAGCCAACCATAGCTGTTTTAATATCAGCTACTTTGTACAACATCAAAAGGTTGTTTGGGGTTATGATTTATGATCAATTTGCTCAACCAAAATCTAAAATAGTTTTTAAATGTTGGAGCCAATGTTATGCCCCTGCAGCTGAAAAAAGTCCTCTGCTAAACTTCATTGCCATCAGTTTAGCATAATTAAAGCATTTTTATGTTTAGACCTCGATTATTTGTGTAAAAAAGTAGAAAATAATGAATCAGGATAGGGAATACGTTAACAGGGGATGTGGGTGTAACCATCTTTACACCACCTGAGGTTAAGGGCAGAAGCATAGTGCTTAACCTGGATTTAAGTAAGATTATTGACTGGATGTTATGGATTTGAGGGATTACAACCATGATCCCAGGTTGACCTTCTCATCATAGACATACAGGATACCAATTACAAGATTATTAAAGAATATAATAATTACAATTAGACATGGTCGGGGTCAGGTAAGGGTTAACAATATGGTAGAAATCAAATTGGGATGTCTTTCTCCTGCCATTGCTAGTAAATAAATGAATTATTTTAAAGGGCCCATGTCATGCTTTTCCGGTTCTTACCCGTCCCCTTGTGTGTTATGAAGGTTTTTCTGCATGTAAACGGTCTGCAGAGTCACAAACCCTCAAAGTACACCCTGTAGCGAGTAAAACTCTAACACCGAAAATACCTGTCTATGCTTTCCCAGAACGCCTCATTGGAGATTTTTCTTTTTCCATTGTGTACTTTTTGGGTATAGTGACGTATTTCGGGTATAGTGACGAAACGAAACGTCCCCGGAGCCGTTACGTTTGGACCAATCTGCGGACTTCCTCACACACACACACACACACACACACACACACACACACACACACACACACACACACACACTCGGCGGGACGTTGCGAGGCTCGCTGCTGCGAGGAGCAGGACACTGTGAGCTGGCTCACTGGTGTGGGGACAGCGAGACACCGCGGAACTCAGCCTCGGCACACACACTGCGGGTGTGTGTGTGGTTTCGGCTGGGTTTCGCTCTGTCTCGCAGACAAAAAAAAAACTCCGTAATAAATGTAGTCTACATTTCATAAGAGGTGTAAAACCTGTGAGCATTTTAAATCCCATTTGAACTAAATGCTTATATAATCTATAGTTGTATTTGTATTGTTGATTTTAATGTGTGAACGAGACGATATAGAGAAGGTTAAGCTGTCATTATGAGGCTGTTCTGTACTGTTGGAGTGGTGAGCAGGCCTATTGTTTTTGGATATTTGTGGAGTTAGGTGTTCCGTGAGTGTTTTCTTATTGGTTAAGTGTCCTTGGTATGAAAAAGTTTGAGAAACACTGCGCTAGTGGATTGTCAACGGGGGGAGCCTCGCTGCGGGTAAATTATACAGATGGCCAGTCCGCCCCTGAAAAAAGTCAATGCAGACGTTATTATTAATAATAATAAAAACATTTATTAAGAAAATTGATTTTCTTTTTTTTCTTTTTTCTTTAACATTTTAATGTTGTAATCATCTCGCGACCCCCACTTTGGAACCCCTGCTTTAGGGTACCAATTATCTTTGCGCAGCACATAAACCCCAGCTGGAAACATACCAGCAACATCTAAGTGTTGCTTGTTAATTGTGAAATGTGTTAATGAAATTAGGATTTATGCACAGTTCCTGTCTGTATCCTAACACACTGTCTCCTCCTCTGTCTTTCTTTTTCTCTTTTTCTTTTTCTCACAGTCTCCATACAACCCTGGACTAAATGCTGGTTCCGCCCCTTTAGTGTATTCTCCCCAGACGCAGCCAATGAATGCACAGCCACAAAGTCGCCCGGTGAGTGTCCCTCTGCTGTTGGATTTACAGCTCTGCTGCCTCCAAGTACAAGAGTTTGCTCTTTACTGTGGCTTTGATTGAGAGTTGGGAGATGTCATTGACTTACTGACCTGGTGTTTAGATGCCACAAAGAGCTTGATAAATGTTGAAACATCTAAATCTGCTCATGTCAGTGAAGCATGAGCTGTACTTTTTTATTCAGATTTCCTTAACTTTCCAGACTTGTGGTGTGTCGTGTGGGACATTAGTAAACACTGGTGTAATCATTTCCCCTTGTTATGCAATATTCAAGTTAAAAAGTCAGAGTCCCTGTCTTACATTTAAAACCATGAAAAGCCCACTAACAGCTTTTAGGAAACCTCACACCACGAGAAGACATTTTGAATATCATATATACTTTGCCAGCATTTTCTGTACTCGCATTATTTATGAATCTTGCCTGGCTCCTGCCCAGCCCCCATCAGCAGAGCAAGGCTAACCAGACCTCAGGAGTCTTGTTTTAAGCCGTGTGGTTACTATGGGAAGGATTCCTACATAGGAAACAGGATATTATTTTAATCCCACTACAGTATGCAACACGGCATACAGATTACTCTTTGCAAGTCACAATTGGGAATCATAATATTTAACCTTGCTTAATACAGACCTTGACTTGGGTCTGAGAGCGGCGTCACGTACCAGGTGAAGTCTCGTGTGGTTTTGTTCTGTATTTACCGGCCTCATCGCTCATCTTATCTGTGTCTCTCTTATGCTCTTTCTTTCTCCCTGCTTTGCCATCACTGCTTCAATCTCCTTGCTGGACATGTCCTCCCTCCCCCACCAGTTTGCCACGGGCCCTCGACCAACCCACCATCAGGTAATTTACCCCCGCTGAACACCCCTCCCGCTCCCTCTCTTGCATCATCCTCATCAAAGCAGTTTTGAGCTGGTACCTGCTGGCAAGAGGGCTGTTTACGGGACGTCTGCCATTCCTTCAATAAAAAAGTAGTCTCCGATTTGCAAAAGCTTCAAATGTCTTGGATACAGTTGAAGAGGTTTTAATTATCATGGGGGGTTTTTCTGAGCGTGCTGCTATTTAATCCACCTGTCCAGCCAGGTGCGCAGCGCAGTTTCCTGGCGGGTGGGTTTCTTGCACTATTCATGTTTATTTTTATGTTGAGATTAATCGGAGTTCATTTCCAAGAATTGAGTTGCAATTGAATATTGTTTTATCAGGTTCAGATGTAATGAAGCCTAAGCTTGTCTTTGGGCTCTCAGTTGAACAGGTTATCCTTTTATTCACAGGATGTTTAGGATTGGGATTCTCCTAGACTTTCTTACAGTTTATATCATTTTCTTAAAGACCCTTTACAATGTAAAGGGCCTTGAGTTTGAGGGGTATCAAACTCAAGGCCCGGGGGCCAAATCCGGCCCGCGGCTTCATTTCATGTGGCCCTGCAAGAGCTTGCAAAGAATATAATACTTTTATTATACGGTTACATGACACTTTACAGAAGCAGGTTGCCCATAAACTACATGTCCCACAATGCATCTCGTTTTGTGACATGCGCATTGAAGAGACTTGTAATTATTTGCCCTGGACTTCTGCTTTCAGACATAGTTAATTACTAAGTTATTATCCTATCCGATAATAATCCAATTCAGAGGCAATAATGTAATATAATACATTATTTTATATATTTATATAGTTACAACCGGCCCTTTGAGTGCAACCTTTATGCGAATGTGGCCCGCAATGAAATTGAGTTTGACACCCCTGCTTTACATGATGACTTAAATATTGATCTAACATTTAAACGAACAGGAAATGACTAGTCTCTCTGTGATAATGGGTTTAGCCTCTGCACACGTGTTTAGAGCCTATGATTGTTAGCTATTAAAAGAAGTAAAGGTGAAAAATAATAGAAGCTTAATTATTGGAAAAGATAATGTACTTGCCAGTCAGAGTGCTTTCAATTGCATGTGCCATGAACACACCTAACTACTACCTTGAGTTAATGGTGCTAGACCTCTGCAGGACACTTCCATGCAGCATTATTACTGTATTTGTTAGTGTGTTCGTAAGTGTCTCGATAGTGTCCTGCTAATCAGTTTTTTTTCCTCTATTCTTTTTAAGTATAGTTGATCCTAGCATAATTGAGCCATTATTTGCAATGATTCTATTTTTTAAGGATATTTGGCTGTGATATCATGAGTCTTATTTGTTTCCAGTAATTACACCAAGGTAGTGTCATTTTAAATTGGCTGTTTTATTGATGTTTGGGCAAGAATTGTGACGTCGAGATTTGTACACAACTACATCTGCAAGCCACATTCCAGATGAACACAAGTGGTCCTAATAGTTGTTCTTAAAATGCTGAATATTCATATGGTATAATCAAGTGGTGGTCTTAAGTTTTCAGAACAAAGAGAGCCAGTGGTAAAGGTAGAAGGCTCCGTCTGTGAGTTTCCTGTCAGGCATTTGACACCTTGTGAACCAATGTCATTAGATTGTGAAGGGCCTGTTAATGTGTTCCTGTCTGGCAGTGGTGCGGTTTGTGGATCACCTTGTGGATGCTAAGAGTTGCTGACATTCAGTACATGTTATTTCCTGTTGTCTTTTGTATTTGTTTATTCATACCGTAATGTTTCATGCCGCTGCCAAGTCAAGATTGATGTGTCATTCCCACCCCAAGATGTTCCTTGTGTAACTTGTTGTCTAACATCCTCACCTTCTGGATGCTTCTGTGTGGACAGCCTTTTGACACACTATTAATAGTGTCGTGTCAAAGTGTGTCGGGTGTGTTTGCCCTTGGGAGTTCGTACAAATACATTTACACACATACAAGTGCATGCTCTGGCTGTCACAAACTGGCGCTGGGATCACTTGTGCCACCACGGAAGTGGATTCGGAAAGCAGATGAAGCCAAACAGTAGCCTTTTATACCGATGGTGAAAACAGCCATTGTCCCCCTGAAACACACTCAATGCACAGTAAAGGCTACATAGAGATCAGGAAATGCATTCATTTGGCTAAAACATCTTCAAACAAGGGTCATCATTATTCAAAAAGATTCCCTCCACTTATGCATGAAACTGACGTTTAAGGATTTCAATCACAGCTTTTGTTTGCGTGTGAACCAAAAGGTCACAGCAAGCGGTTATTACACTAAAACAAACAACTGTTGTTTAATCCAGAGAGCTATTCAGAGTGTAAATAACACTATTACGTGTTTTCTCTTGGTTGGCCCCAAGTAGCAGAAATGTCACATAATCATTGGACCTTACAATTTTTTTTCATTTGGCATTTCCACCTTTACAATCCCTGTATGCTGGCAGTATTTGTGGTCAACATTTCATATTGTTTACCCTTTGCAAATCACGTACAGTGTGTTGGAACGGTAATTACATAGTGATGTCATAATGTTACTAAAGTAAACAAAGGTGTCCAATGGAGGCGTTTCAGGCGGGGGGAGTGTGGGAGAGAATCTCCCTCTGGAGGGAACTTTGGGATTTTAGCCTTAGCAGAGCATTTACATGCACACAAACCTATTTAACACACAACAGGGAACGGAAAACCGCAAAAAGCATTGATTTATATCATCCATTTGAGCTGCCAGGCTATCAGGGCAGTGAAGTGATACCTATCAGCCCCCCCCTCCCTGGCAGAGAACACTTTGTGGCGCAGGGACTGCACGATTTGAGGAAAGTAATACCAGTTGGAAGTAAAGTGTGTGTTTGGGTGAGACAGGATTTTTGTGGACAGAGGATATGAGTGCAACCGTGCATGTTATGTGAGGGTGGCAAATGCTGATGTGACATTTTCACTGAAGCTTTTTTCCACTTTACCACCCACCCCAAGGACACACTTTTCTATTGTTCGAGGTATTCTTGCCAATCAAAGTGGCTCTGGACCAGTTTCAGGTAGAGGGATATCATTGGGTAGTTCCCTGCCTTGATGTGTGTGGGTGACTGATTGCCTGCTTGTGTTTGTATTGAGTCACCAGTACCAGTCTCCCATTGGCTTTTTCTCTCTTCCCTGCTTTCAAAACTCAAGGGAGGATTCAGGCCCATCCAGGTAACATTAACCTCTCTTTGAAAAGTCTCCCTGCAGACCTGCATGGCATGATGAGGATCATCCTCAAATGATCCTGTTCCTCCTGACTTCTATCCCCATGCACCCCCTCATCTTCACCCCAGTGTATGCTCAGCAGAGAGATCAATGTATCATCATTATTTCCTGCCTTTTATGTAGAGGATCATTACTGCACCTTCATCATGTTGTAGTTTTCCCTCCACTCATTACTCATCTTTAATTAGCCTGCACAATTGAATGAACAGCATGCGGAATGAAAGAGATAAGTGCATTTTCTGTATCACCCATGTATTAAGAATGTGTCTGTTAATGTCTTGTGCCAATTGGAGGTATGTATGGTTTCAATGTTGCTGGAGAGCACACTTATTGTTTCAGTGATTTCTTTCAGCCCAAGTTACAAAGCACTTTTTTTTGTTGACAGTGTTGAAAAGTTGTTTTGTCTGTCGACTCATATGTCTTGCTTTGACAGCGATTTTTACCGAGACTGTCTTTAGGGTAGCTTGTAATGAACAGCTTCCTGGTCCTTTCCCAAATGTCCACAGGGCTATTTGCAATAAAGCCATTAAACCTGATTTATTATGTTAACGGTGATTTCCCTCCTGGGTATTTTTAGAGCGCTTTACAGCATTGTTTATTCTTTCTTTCACTGGAGCCCAGTGTGACAGCGCTTGGGATATTCCCAGCATGAGCCCTTAGTTGCTTGGAAGTCAGTCAGCTGTTGGTAGTAGTCTTCCTTTTGTCCAAACACAAAACCTGCCCATTAATAAACGTTTTAACTGATTGTGACGTGCTGTATTGAAAAGTAGCTGCATTCACTACGAGTGTGTTTTATGTGAGGCTTGAGAAAAGGCCATATTGCTGCCTGATGAAGAAAGCCATGCTGTGTCTGTCACACATTCAGCACAACTGTTAGCCAAGCTGCTCACACACACATACAAAGGTATTCAAAGCCATTCAGCTGGCCAAGAGTTTTTATTTTATTTTCTACAGCTGTGTGCAGCTTGTTTACAGTCGGCAGGCTGGCCACAATAATATCATTTTTTTTTTAAAGAGACAGCTGTGTGTAAATGAGTTTTTAGTTGTGCTCCTGACGAGTAGGACGGCACTTTCATCGTTGTATGAATGTTGACTTGTAGTGTAGAGCTTTGAGTTGTTGGGAGACTGTTACACATGTAACATATAAATATGAGGAGATTGAGATTATTCATTTTTGACATCGTAGCGATAACAGGCATGGGATATCCAGCCTCGTTGTTAAGAAGCTATAACGGTGAAGAGATTTGGCCACAGACCAGTGAAATTAGGAGAGATTATAGCTAACAGAAAAAAGATGTGTTTCCAGCCTGATATTTCAAGTATCAACAGAGCTTGCCTCCCAAATGTGCAGCTGGAGGAGGGCAGCTGTGTGGGCAAAGGCTCGACCACCAAAAGAGTTCTTATTAAATCGAGGAATGGTAAAGTAACCAGCATCAAGGGAATGTAAAGGGGTGATTAAGTGTATGGGGAAATAAAGCTGCTTGCCAGTTAAATACAGTTTTAGATGTTAAGTAAAGCAAATCATGGTGGAAATTATGGATTGAAAAGGCATTAAATCGTAGTATAAAAGTGTGCACGGCTGCCTAGAAATCATTTAGCCTTTCATCCCTCAGTCTGAATGAGAGTGTAGAGGAAGTAGCGGTGCTGGGGCTTTTTTTCCCTCGTTTTTTTTTACGCTGCTGATAGAAACCAGGACTGTCTCACTGTGAGAAATGTGTAGGCCAAATGGTGGAGACATCTAAGAAAAACAGTACCTGTTTGTGTTTTAGACAAAGCATGGCAGCATGTGGAAGTGAGACGGCCGCCTCCTGGATAGCACTAAATGTCTCTTGTTGTTCCTCTGGGTTTTCTTCACATGTTGCCTTCAGTTTTTCCAGAGGACTCAGATGCAGACTGCGAGGCCCACCATCCCTACTAACACCCCCTCCTTACGGCCCGGCTCCCAGACGCCTACAGCAGCTGTCTACCCCACCAACCAGCCCATCATGATGACCATGGCCCCCATGCCTTTCCCCTCCCCACAGGCTGCTCAGTACTACATCCCACAGGTGACACAGGCAGACTGAACTGGGTCTTACTATTACATTTGGTCTTATACCTCAGTTCGAGCTATAGTTATGTGTGCACATCACTTCTAAAAATATGATTTGATTTTGTATTTATTATGATGAATGCAGATTCTGAACATTTAGGATGAACAAAATGTTCAATTTCAAAGATGCTTTAGCAGTTTTAATGATTCGTATTGAGTAACTAGTGAGAACATGTTCTTTGGCTGCAATCTGTTCAATCATCATGGATTGAACAGATTGAAGGACAATATTTGAAGTCATTTTGTAGGTTTTATTTTTTGCAATAGATTTGAGTTAGATGAGGAGAATGAAGCCAACCGTTTGTTAATATGAAGCATCAGACATTTAACAGTTAGCTTACCTTAGTACAAAGTCTGGAATCAAGGATAACCTCTCATTTCTATAATGCTACTGCACTTGGCCAAGAAATAGTCCAGAACACAATGCCCGTACAACCACAATATTACATTTTACACTTTAATTCGGATACAAAATAAAACAACAGGATATTATTTTGTGATCATTGAGCTTTACGAGTCCTTGCTGCCAGATTTAGTTATGTTTTAAAAAGGATAGCTGTTTCCCCAATCTCCTGTTTTTAGGCATCACATTGAGCAGGTATGAGAGTGGTATCATAGGAAACACACTTATCCATACCTCAGTTCCTGCTATGTTTGTGTCTGCTATTGAATGTATAAAAGCCTTTTTCTTTATATAGTTCAACAAATAATTGTATGCCGACATTAAGAAAACATCATCTAATTTAACTTCTGTAAAGCACCTGCAATTATCTTTCTTTTGGTGCTGTTAAGATAGAGGAATCCTCTCTGGCTGCTGCTCGTATGGGTTGGATTTAAGTGAATTCTAGGAACACCGTTCATATCATTTGTCTACAAAGGATTTGAAAGACAGCTTATCTAAAATCTCACAGAAGGATGATTATGCAAATGTTCAACATAGAAAAAGATTTCACAGATTGCAAAAGTGAGCATGTGTTAAGCTGTCTCTCTTTGTCCTCTCCTTGCAGTATCGCCACAGTACGCCCTACGTGGGACCCCCTCAGCAGTATTCTGTACAGCCTCCGGGGTCCGGCGCCTTTTATCCTGGGCCGGGGCCAGGGGACTACTCTTCCCCATATCGTGAGTCATTAATTGAACCCTGCAAACATCAGATGCCACATTCTAATCTGAATTGACCCCAAATACACAGTCAGCCTTGTTTTCCTCCAAAGCACGGGAATGTTGTGCTGATATCAGTTTTCTCCTCTTTCCTTTCTGCATTCAGACCCCCTCAGGTACCACCCGCCTGTCTCACCCACGGTTCCCGCTCCCGTCCCCACAGCTGTTCCCCAGTACTACCCCGGACAGTCTGTGTACCCCCCCTCACCCCCCATCATAGTGCCTACACCACAGCAACCTCCACCAACCAAGCGTGAGAAGAAAACAGTGAGTACCTTAGGTCTTTTTTTCAAAACGGTACATATTTGACCAAATCATTTCTTTTTGACTCTGAACCTCCAGCAATTGTCAAATTTGTAATCTTTTCAAAACAAAGCCACTCTTCTAAAAAGTAAAAAAAGCCTTTTAATCAGATGGCTATATTTTCTGGTGAAATTCTAAAAAACAATGCTTGCACACGTTAACATGGATATGAACCAACTCTTATGTTTCCTACCAAAAAGCAAATATAGTCAAAATACAAATTTGAATCTGTGCTAGTAAAATAATCTTCTGTAAAGGCAGATTAAGAAGCTGTTCTGTAGCCTCGACGATATCATGAGTCCCAACACAAAATGTGGATTTTCAAACTTCTTAAGAGATGTTTTGATTCTGAATTCAAATAGTTTGTATTCCTCATTTGCTGACTTTATCACTTGCTCTTTGATTCGCTCTAGCTAAACAGCTGGATGCACACAACTCTCCGTGTTCTGTGCTGTCTTAAAAGTACCAAAGCTTACTTCTGGCACCCATTTTAAATAAATGTATTGGTGCAATTAAAACACAATGCAAAATTATAATTTCTCTATCTATGTTCTATGGTGAAATACTTACGTTTTTTTAATTTAAGTGTCAGTGACTCATTTCCTGTTCCTTAAATAGAATACCTCAAGCTCTGGTTAGTGTATACCGCTACAGAGGAGAAGCATGCTTCCAACATATCTGACGCAGGGTTCCTCTCAAACTCGTATGCTTTAGTGTTTTGTTTTTTTGTGCCATTGTCCGCCCAGATCCGTATCCGTGACCCCAATCAGGGCGGCAGGGACATCACAGACGAGATCATGGCAGGGGGTTCAGGGAGCAGGAATTCAACGCCTCCCATTGGCCGCCCCTCCTCTACCCCGACACCCCCACAGGTATGGCTCTCTGACACGCTCATCTACTGAAGTTACAGTTGTGTTAGTGTAGCATTGAGAGCAGCTGAATAGACTGGAGCTGAGGAGAGAAGGTGTCTCATGTTGCAGTGTGAGCTCCAACCCTCTCCACCACGTGTGTGACATACAGGATACGGCCTGTGGCTCTTTCATTTATGCGGCCATCTTGCCTTCTCATAAGTAATTCATGATGGCTTTGAGTCCAGAACATTCCTCTGGACTTCACATCATCTTAAAGCACTTGTTTTAATGTGTTTCTGTTCTGCAGCAGTCTTGGGTTTTGTTCCTGGGACTTTTCAGCTAAACTTGGCTCTTACTTGATTGTCTCCTAATGAATTCACTGTAATCTTGTTAGTAGCTGTTCTAATCCTACACCTGCTTATTTTCTATCACTGTTTTTACTTGCTGCATATGTTCTGTATGTATTCTCCTGCGTCTTCTACAGAATCCGCTCAGATTATATTTCATATCCCTTCTGTTCATAACAAAAGAAGCCCTGCCGCCCCAATTAGATGTATAAAATGGAATCCAGCAGGCTCTGGGTCAAATGACAGAAGTTGGAAACCAATGCACTATTGCTATTGGCACTTTAAAAATAAACGAAAACCCAAATCAAACGGCTTCCCTGGATTCTGAAGAAGGACGTTGTGACTTCTTCCTCCTGTGGATGTTAACAGTCTTTCCTCTCTTTCTCTGTCTTTTTGTGCCCCTCTTGATTTATTTATCCCTCTATCTTCTCTCCGCTCCTCTTCCTCTGCATTGTTCTGAGCCGTTCCCCTCCTCCTGCTATTTCTCCCACATTGATCTTTATTTTGTCCTCCATCGCTGTCCTCTGAATCCATCCCCACCCCATCGGGCTCCTTGTTTCTGCTTTAAATCTTGCGTTTGGGCTTGTTTGCTTATTTGTTTGTGCGTGTGTGCTTGCCTCCACATCTGGGCCTGTCTCTGGTTTTCTGTGTTGCTAGTTTTTATGGCCGCACCCTCATTATCCTCACATTTTCTACCTCAAATCGCAGCAGCAGCCGAGCAGCAGCCAGACTCCAGAGCAGCCGCAGCAGGCCCATCCTGGGGGCTACGCACTGGAGCCCCCGCAGCCACTACAGCCACAGCAGCCGTCCACCACTACGGCTGCAGACACCAAACCAGGGCCAGGTCTGCACCAACATCCCCCCTCTGTCTTTAAAAACACAACTCCCAACAGTCTATACATCTTGTTATTTTGACTTGGTTTTTATGTTTAAATAGCACAAATATGACATCAGACCATCAGTAATATTGATCTATTTTTGCTGTGTCATTCCCCTCCATTGCAAGGCTATGTCTGAGGTTTTATTTTAGTCCTCCAGCTACTTCAGTATCTCTCTTTTGCATAAACAATGATTTCCAAACACATGCCTTGTATCAGTTTCCTTTCCCCCATAACGCTGCACATGAAATGCTTTCACTTTCATTTGACTATCAGAAATCAGATGGGCTCCCTGTTCTTCCAGTATTTAGCTGGAACATTCCACCAGCATTTTTTAAGCAAAGCTTTTGGAACCAGTTCTTTGTTTGTGGAGAATGTTGTTGTTGTTTAGATTGTTTGGTTTGTGAACTTAATACCCATCCATGCACCTTTACCCAAGAAATCTACTTAAAGAGACTGTTAAGTAAAATATGTGTTTTACTGAACTTTCTCCTTCCAGATGATACGCCAAAACTGGAGCCAGTTGTCCAGAAGTCTTCCTCGCCTGGGCTTGTGCAGCCTGAAGCCCCGTTAGAGAGGCTCCAGGCCAAAGCTCCCGCAACCGAGCCCTCTTCTCCCGTCGAACCAGAACTTCCCTCCCCTGCTTTGATGAGCGCCCCCGTCACTCTCCCTCTTTCAGTGGCCAACAACAGTGAGCGTGCCCCAGCCAAGGAATCCACTGCATCAGCCTCTCCTCCCTCCCCCTCGGTGGGGGAGCACAAGCCACCTCAGACTACCAACACAGACAAGCCTCTCTCCGACGCCCTACGAAGTCCGGCTGCCTCTCCAGCGCCGGCTCCCAAGGCTCTGAACGGCCTTGCAGACCCCGGTGCTGAGCTGGACACGCCGGAGCCTTCTCTCCTGCATTCAGCTGCCCCCCAGCCCCAGGCCTCGGCCCCCGCTCACAGAGAGGCCTCTTCCTCCGACGCTTTGCCCTCTGACGTGAGCCCAGAGGTGCCCGTTGCTGCTGCGCTCGCCCCTTTGGCCCCTGTGGCTGTGGTGCCAGTCACCCTGACCTCAAGCCCCGCCCCCGCTTTGCCAGTTTCGCTGCCCCCCGGCCTTCCGCCTCTAGTGCAGGCCACAACAGAGGCCGAGGAGCCGAGCAAGAGCTTCGACACTAAAGACCTCGTCCCCAGAGCGGGGACGGAGGCACACGGAGACATTACGGACAGCAAAACAGAGGCCCAGCAACAAGCACTCAGCAGCAAGAGTCCCACTACAGGTACTGAGCTTACTGCAGGCTTTATTGTTCTCTAGATCAGTGGTTTGTTGTGTTGTGTGTTTTGACTGCAACAAAGGAGCAACAACTCTTTGGAATGAGTGTTTCTCTGGTGGAACTCCAGCTTCAAAGGAGATGCTGTTTTATGAGAACTATACTTTTTATGGTATTATGCCAGACATGAAAATTACTTGGCCATATCATTTACGCAGTTTTTTTATGAATGGCCATAAAGCAAATATTGAAGATTATCTCTCATCAAAACAGTGTTTCAAATGTATTTGTTACCCTTAGAGCTCACACATTTACTCCAAATATCTGTCAGTATATCAATATCGGTATATCCATTTTTTTTTATAATTGAAACTGGAAAGAAAAAAATACAAAATTGTTTCTGAATTGAAAAGACTTTCTCCTTTTTGTCAAAAAATATAATTTGGCTCTGCAAAATGTAATGGACGTTTTATTGACTTGATGAATCCATCCAAATGACCTGCAGATATCAATAATGAAAATAATCCTTAGTTGCAGCCCTAGTTCTATGAGTATTTTCTCATCTTAATATTTGTATTTGCCAAGAATATCACAACATTCGAAATCAAATAATAGCTAACAGGTAGGAATCTTTTTGTGAACAACTATTATGGTTTGTAAAATGCCCCACAAAGTGCACCCTGGTTCACATACATGGAACAGGAAGTCGTGACATAGCTCAGAGTCAGCTGCAGAGCGACACCTGACAAACAGGTAGAACAGAAAGGCTCGGGGTCATCGGCGTTTGTTCAGGAGCGATATTGACTTGCTGACTGTAGAACTCAACACCTGTCATCATAACCTTCACCTGTGTGACACTTCAAAATCATGAGCAATCACTAGTTCTTGCCCTTTAAAATCTTTACAAATGTATTTACTCTATCAATGCATAACAAATCCTAAAGAGCATACAACTTGAGAAAACAAAAATATAAAGTCTAGCAATTCACTTTTAATTGAGTCTTTGTGTCTCCTAATCTCCCTAAAATACTTTTTTTTTAAAATAACATTCAATATTTGTTTCAGTTTGGTGGGCGAGGTTTATCATATTAAAAATTGACTTAAATATGATTTTATGCTATTTTCTGGCATTCCCTCCATTTTAAATATCTCCTATCCATTGTAGGGTTATAAAAGAAAACCCAGATTCTACTCGGACACAAAGGCATCCGAACATATTCCCTTATACTGACACAAATACATCTTGCCTTCTAAACACTTTTAAATCCATTGCTGTTGTGTTGTTTGGCTGATTACATGCTCCCGCTTTTGTATTTCCCTGCAGTAAATCAGACTGCTTCTGCTATACCAAAGACCTGGAGGAAACCAGATGAAGGGATCTCTGCTGTAGACGCACCTCACAAGGAGGACGAGGTAAGAAAAGAGGCCGAAAGCTGCTCACCCTGCAAGATTCAAAGACTAACCCATCTTCAGAAAGAATTAAAATTCTACCCATTCACTGGTCTTAAATGAGATGAAAGTTTTAAAAAGGTCACCTTCAAATGTTGACAAATACCCTTCCTTCTTTATGATCATTTTGTTGATATATCATTTTTGGAACAAAGCTTTTTGAAATCCCTGAAAAGTATCTCAGGACAGAGAGGGTGGAAAAGAGAGAAAAGAGGGAAGGGACAAAGTGGGCAATAGTTCAAGTGGAAAATGTTTCCACGTGTGAGGGTGAGGGGGGGGGGGGGAGCAGACTTAAATGACTTTTGGGTGTCGTTATCGTTCGAGAGCGACAGCGAGGAGCTATCCATCATCGTCATTGCTCACCCAGCCCACTGAATGTAAAACTCTGCTCTTTCCCGCTCTCGTTTCCTCTGCTTTATTGTTTGGTCTCAGGCTTGTTGCTGTGGGAAGAACTTCACACCACCACAAACCAATGTGCCAGACTTTCAAAGGACCTCTTTTAGGCCGCAAAGAATAAGCACCGCAAGTGAAGACATTTTTTATTTTATGTAGAAATACAGGGATTGCAAAAAATAAAAACATAACCACCTGCATTTAAATATCTTAGAGCAAAAAGAGTATATCCTGATTCCTGTGTGTATAAGACTAATAGCCTCACAATTTAAATTCAACATGTTTTTTTTACCAACAATGGGTGAAAGTGAATATTTCTTTTTTTGATGCGTTAATGGTATTTATGTACAGATAATATTTTAGATAAGGACAATGGAGTTGTGTAGAAAATCAAACCAGCATAGAATGGTCCGTTCTGTGCGACTGCTTGTACTGCTTGCTGCAACAGGCCTATTGTGTTCCTTTTTTTCCCGCCTGAATTGTGAATCAATTGAATTCAATCAATCATTTGGTCACCAATTTCACCTGACCAATTCTGCCCTCTCTGCTTTTATTTATTTATTTTCCACTCCTGTATTTGTACCCATTCTTTATGTTCACCTCTTCTGCAGCTCTAAACTGCTGATTGTTCAGTTCTATGTGCGGATATTATGCTGCAAATACATTACATTTTATATTATCAAAATACTCTAACAATATAGCGGCGCAGGAATGAGTCTTAAAACCCAGGAAAGAGATTTTCAGGTTTTGTATTACGATTTCAATTACGTGTATATAAATATAATATTAATATAATTAATTTGTGAATATCCGGAGCTTCTTGGTGCTAACAAGTGACTAAATAAACTACTAAACAAAATCACGCCAATACAAGTCCGCCGTTAGCTTAGCGGTGGTGCTGCACAGCCCTGCGTAGTTCATTCACAGCCAAACGTTGGCGATTGCCTTTTAGGTTTTAAAAAAATGTATATATGGAGATTATCCTGCTGAGCAAAATGTGTTAAGTTTCATAAATATGTGTGTACCACAGAGTACCTTTCTGCATTATACCCAACATTCAATGGAGAAACCCCATTGCTTTTTGACTCCTTGCAATGCTATTTCCCGGTTTGGCCTACACAAATACATCATCACTGCACCACTCTATAAGTGCAAGCAATTATGAGGATACACATTTTAGTATAACAAGAATCTGGCAAAGACATTAGCTTCAAACAAGCCAAACCATTGTTTAGTGCAACCACCTTTTTCTCTTATCATTGTAATGGCAAATATGCAGTTGAAATTGTTTCAGTCATGTGACAGTTTCTGCTGTCCTGATATCAATAGGGAGCTCATTTCACCATTTAAGAGCCAGGCAAGCCAGTTTTGATCACAACGTGAACAGGCTGGGGTGAGAGCCAAGGGACAGCAACTGATTAGCTGTTAGGAGTTAATATCTTACTGAATCAAAATAATGTAGAACATTAAATCCAAAAATGGAATGTTGCCTCCTCACAGGACGAGCCCCGGCCAGCGGAGCCTCCTGCTGTGGAGCAGGTCCTGCCCTCGGCCCCTCTGAGCTGCAGCCCGGGGCCCCTGCCAGCAGCCCTCACCTCCAGCCCTGCTCCAGCTCCTGCCAGCAGCCCAGAGGCGGACGGGAAGCCCGCCGCCCCCGAGGAGAACGGTGAGGCCGAGACGGAGCCCATGAGGAACGGGGCAGGTCACACCTCAGAGACAGAGAGCAGCGATGGTGGAGCCACCCCCGCTGACAAGGAGAACTCCACAGGGGCCCCACAGGACATCGAAGGTTAGAGAGGCAACACCTTTATTAGCAAAACTCTCTTTGCCATTAAGAGCTTTTATATCCAGGATTGAATTATTCTCAGTTCAGTCTCATATGTATGCATTTGTTCTTTGTCTTTTTTTCTCATTCCCTGCTTGGTGGTCCAGACCTGGCTGAGCCCGGTGGGAAGCGTCAGTATAACAGGGTCTTCCTGTTGGGCTTCCAGTTCATTCCCGCCTGCATACAGAAGCCTGAGGGTCTCCCACCCATCAGCGACGTGGTGCTGGACAAGGTGAGAAAGCTGGTCCCTGCAGATATGCCCATTAAATAGTCAGACCCCTGTCCATAAACCTCCAAGCGCAACATTAACCTCCAAATGATATTTAAATAATCTTTTATGTCCAATTATGTGGTTTCCGCTTCTAAAGATTTGCTGCACTTTTTAATTGTTTCAAACATTATCATTTCAATGTAATTTAGTTTTAGACGTGGTTATTGGGACAACACTAGCAGTTTTAAAATCCACCTCGGGCTCTGGAAAAATGTGTCATCATTTTGTAAGGGTTTTAAAGACGAAGCGATTAAGCTACTCAATTATATATCTTATGAACTAATAATGAAACCAGTCATAAGTTGAAGCCCTAGTTCTGAATAAACTCCATGAAACTTTGTCTGTTGCTCATAGCAACAGGCAGTGTTTTACTCTGTTAGCTTGTGTGCACTGGATCAAAGATGCAGCACACAGTTGGGTTCATTCCTCCGATCCACACATATGCATATGGCTTGCAGAACTGCTGTTTTGATTAAAATCACATTGCGATTATGTCACTCTTGGCAGTGCTAAGAGTGCTTGTCCCTCCCCCACCTCTCCGAAAAAGAACAACCACCAGACCGGCGATGTTCAATCCCAAAGTCTCGTTTTCTCTGAGGGTAGAAAGTGAAATCTCTCTGGGGAAAGAGCGCAGAGGAAGTCAAGGACAGCTGAAAAACAAAGGGCTGGATTTGTTCTTCTCTCCTCCCCCACAACTATCTGCCTCTCTCTCCCTCCTGCGTTCCTTTCTTCCTTCCTTCCCCTCCACATCTGGTTCTGACTTCTCTCTCTGAATGGCCTGCTGATCCCCCAAGCATGATTTATCACCAGTACAGTGAAAATACATAAACCAAAAGCTGTTAATGTACAGTAGTACGACTGTAATTTGCTACGGGTCACCTTTAAGGGACCACTGAGTTAGAAACGCACACACACATTCACACACTCACACACTTCCCAGGCGGAATCCTTTCACCCTATTCCTACTCTTATTAGGATCACTGCTCCCCCTGCTGTTCAACTCATCATATGTGTGTGTAATTGTGTGTGTGACGATGTATTGTGTATGTTTTGTGTCCTGCAGATTAACCAAAATAAGTTGCCATCCAGAGCGGTGGAGTCCAGGGTGATTTCCAGAGGACCCGATTTCACACCTGCCTTTGCAGATTTTGGCCGGCAGACCACCGGAGGACGAGGCGCTGCAGTGAGTCACACGTGCAGACACAAAAAAACACTCAAGCAGCCACAGGCAAACACATTTGAATGTATTAACATACCCTCATATTTCGTAGAGAACTAGTTGAATAAGTGGGGGGTTATTTAAATGATATCACAAGTCTTTCAGATGTTAAAGTCCTTAAAAGCATTTAAAAGAAAAAAAAAATCCTCAAAGTCAGAGAATAATGGGTTACAATTTGAAGTATTTGTTCCAGTTGGTAATTAAGCAAACATCCATATATGTTCATTAGCTGATTCCAGTGAGACTTCCAATATAACTCTTAACACTGTTTTGCTTTTGTCAGAATGGAATAAGTCTAATGAGTTGCAGAAAAGCATTTTAGTTGTCTGTTCTTCTGGACAAAGCAGGGTCTATTTAATTAGAGCCGAGGTCATATTTCTAAAATGTCGGTAAAGAATGATTGGAAATTGTTGTTAAAATGACCAGGACGGTCAGCTACTGCGTTATATGTTGTTGTTTTTCATTACAGACAGGTAAAGGAATACATTGTGCAGTTTGAAACTAGTATCGCAAATGACATTGACGTGCTGTATTCTTTCATTGCATCCACAGCCTATGAACATTGGGGCCCGGCGGCCTCCACCCAGGAAGATCATCATGCACGTTCCTGTTAATGATGAAATTCAGCTGAAGAAATCAGAGAATGCATGGAAACCCATCATGAAGAGGCCGGAAGTCGTTATAGATGATCCTGTGGTGCAAAACACACTGGTACAGACAAATATACACAAACACACAGAAAAGATACACAAAAGAGGAGCTTTTCAAACATCCGCACCAGACTTTGACCAAAAAATCATAGAAAGCAATATTACATTGGTGAGGAAACTACTATTGTGCTTTTGGGGGTTTTCTATTTCCTGTAGTTATTAGGGGTGTAACGGTTCACAAACATTTCGGTTCCATACGTACCTCGGTTTTTAGGTCACGGTTCGGTTCGGTACATTTTCGGTACACCAAAAAGAATTATCACAAAACATTACATATTTTTAGTTTTTTTAAAATTATTATTAAACTGTGAATAATGTATTCACTCAAATAAATACAAAATAAAATGAACATTAAGGTGCAGCATTTCGATGAACTGAAATTATCTGTATTTGAACTGAACTGTACCTAAGCAGCCAGTTTGACATTAGGACTTGCTTGTCATTGTATTTTCATGTTTTTTTTAAAGAAAAATGAACTTGTCCACATTGCTTGCCGAAAGGGCAGATCTGCTGGCACTAACAATGTCTCCTGCTGTGGAGAACACCCTCTCTAGGGACAGAGGTAGCAGACACAGCCAGGTAGCGCTTTGCTAACATGGCAACATACTGTAAGGATATTTGGCTCGGTCTGAACTCTTTGCGAGTGGTGGAGGCTTAAATGCTAGCGGGAGTTGGGTTTGCACTTCAGTCATTTTTCTTTTGGTACCGGTGATATTCACGTTCGGTGATGCCTTTTCAAATAAGTGTGCAAGCTTGATGTATTGCCAGCCGCGTAACCAATTTCATTTGAACAATGCCGACAAACAGCTTTGGTTCGGTCCACCTGTCTTTGTCCGTCATCCTTGTACGTAACTGCGAAACCAAAATGTTCCCAAACCGGAGACTTCAATGATGCTGGAGGATTTTCGAGCTCAACTTTATCTGCGTTCGCCATTTCGACAGTTCCTCAAATTACTGACTAAATTTGAACGCATCCCTCTGACCAGCTCTCATAGTATGCCTCTCGTCCAATGAAATGACTTGCTCGCTCTATGACTCGTTGAACCCAATGTGAGGATATTACTCTGAATGCTGCGACGCAGCACCTGAGATTACTTCCAAAAAGTTGTTCACGTTCTCAATTTTTTACGTTTAACGTTATATTCGTTCGGTACACTTCAGTACACTTCGGTACACACGTGTACCGAACCGAAGGGCCCATACCGAATAATTTCGATACGGGTACGTATACCGTTACACCCCTAGTAGTTATATCAGTTTTTCTGCATGTAACTGATCGGCAAGGGCTAAAATCCCAAAGTTCCCTGCCACACACTCCCCCCTCTGCCTGAAACACACTCCTTTGTTTACTTTTGTAACACAGTGACATCATTATGTTACACTTTTGTCTAGTGCTTCAACACATTGTACGCTAGGACATCTCTAAGCGTTTGACCAATCTCAACAGAGCCAGCCAGCTATCCAACCAATCAGAGCAGACTGGGCTCTAGTTTCAGACAGAGGGTGAAAAGAGGTGCTGCAGCACAGGCAGGATGAGGAAAACAAAGCTTGTTGTGCATTAAAGTATGGAGACATGTCACAGGAGAGGCACTACATACAAATATGAACCAGAAAGCGAACATAATGGATGCCGAGGTGAATCGTAAAGAATAATGATTGATGTCGTTATTATGACGGATTCCCCTCAGGAGCTCTTCAAGAAGGTTCGCAGCATCCTGAACAAGCTGACGCCACAGAAGTTCAACCAGCTGATGCAGCAGGTGACGGACCTGACCATCGACACGGAGGAGAGGCTCAAAGGAGTCATCGACCTGGTGTTTGAGAAGGCCATCGACGAGCCCAGCTTCGCCGCGGCCTACGGAAACATGTGCCGCTGCCTCGCCACGGTAAGCAGCTCATTGTGTCACTGTTAGGGTGGAGAAGCAGACAGGAAGTGAAACATTAAGCTTACCTCAACTAGGGTGCATTCACAGGTGCATTTAAGTACACCTATAAGCAAACTTTCTTAATCTTACAGACTGTGCCGTTTATTCTGTGTGTGCGATCCAATTTGCATCTCAATGTTCAGTCAACTAGTCTCTAAATGTGTCGGCTGCAAACAGATCGATGGGTTTAGATTGAGATCTGCCCGATGCAACATAATGCTGTGCAATACAACACAGTTCAATACAATGTGATGACATAGTGGGAACATTATCGTTTTTTGATGAGCTGCAAAATGAAAGTGTAAGATGTGTTACCCTCAACTATCTTGAGTAGAGGGAGTTGAAAGAAGGATTGTTTTGTTGTTACACGTTTTGGTAGTCAAATATAAAGTCAAGGATTAATAACTGAGAGGTCCCCTGTTATACTGTTTTTCAAAAATATATTATAGGTCTCAGATATATACTAAACATGTCTCTGAAGTGTTTGGCTCCAAACACCAAACAGATCATTGCAGCATCCCATAATCCCCTCTGTTTCAGCCCTGTTTCAAAAGTGCTCATTATTTTACTTTAGATGAAAATAAGGAGCCACTCCTCACGACCCTCTGTGGATGCATTTGTTTTGTTTTTTAAAAACACAATGGGTACTAGGAGCAGATTCAGGTGATAAGGTGGGCGGGTGGTTGGTTATTGGTTAATGGTTGCATCACCCAAAAAAAACATTGTGACATCACAAAGTGGCCCCAATTCTGATGAAGTCATTTTCAGGCAGGTTTTCATATATGTGGATCAGAAGAGAGAGAATATGTTTTCCTGAAACTTTCAGAATCTCTTAAAACAGAGGGGCCACGTATTTATGTATAAAAGACATTAAAAGTGGATTTTGCATAATAGGTGACCTTAATAATAAGTATTTTAAATGCTATTCACCTAAAATGCATTTAACTTAAATACAATACAAAAAAAAGAGCTACCCATGGTTACCCTAACTATACATTTAGCCTGCATTCATACACTATTTAGGGCTTTAAAGTATACATTAAAGTCACTTTTCAACGTAAAGTGACTAAACCTTTAACCATGTTTAACTTGTGTGTCTACTTGTGTTCCTGTGCAGCTCAAAGTGCCCATGGCAGACAAACCTAACACCACAGTGAACTTCCGCAAGCTGCTGCTAAACCGCTGCCAGAAGGAGTTTGAGAAAGACAAGGTGGACGACGTGGTGTTCGAGAGGAAGCAGAAAGAGCTGGACTCTGCTGCATCGGTATGTAATCCATGAATAACTTGAGTGTGAAATCCAATTTCAAGCACGGGGGAGGGAATGAAACTGTGGCAAAGACATGTAGTGAATAACCTGCAGGGTAAGCATTTGTTTAATGTTCCCCTCAGACGACAGAGCGCGAGCGGCTGCAGGTGGAGCTGAGGGAAGCCAAGGACAAGGCCCGGCGGCGCTCCATCGGCAACATCCGCTTCATCGGCGAGCTCTTTAAGCTCAAGATGTTGACGGAGGCCATCATGCACGACTGTGTTGTCAAGCTGCTGAAGAACCACGACGAGGAGTCTTTGGAGTGTCTCTGCAGGCTGCTCACCACCATCGGCAAGGACCTGGACTTTGAGAAGGCCAAGGTGAGGAGGAGGAGAAGATAGTTGATGTATTGTATTAGCCAGAAATGATCAACAATTCAATGAGACAACTTCATCCCGTTAAAGGGAAAGTGTGCCTTTTTTCTTTTGATGTGTAATCAGTTTTGATCAGTTCATAGCAACACATTCCTCAGGGCGTGCGATATTGACCATGAAAGCTGAATTTGCAGCTGCTAAATCTTTTAGTTTTGTTAAACAGAATGCTAGTTTGCAATACAAGTAAGTTGTTGCCAAAAGCGAAAATGTTGTCCTAAAATATGACCTCAGAGGATGTGATGGATAAGGATAGATGTTCCAGTTGTTTGGCTGACTTGGACATTCAGCTGTGTTTACTCTAGCCAGAGGATCAGCTGAAAAAATGCAGCAGAGAGGCTGCATTAGCTGTGCCTGTGTATACTGCTGGTGGGAACCGCCTTTGCAACAGAAGCTTGTGCCCAGTGCACCATGGTACATATCGGCACTGCTTCACACGCAGGATAACTCGGCTTTCTTGGTCAATATCTCACAAACTAAGGAATCCATTGCTTCAATTTACTCCATTTACAGTCAACACTGAACGGACAACCTCATGACAAGTGTGGACATTTCCTTTTTATCTGGTCATTTTCTAAACATTGACTGTTTTAATGTCAGGCCATCAAAGTGAATAGTGGGTGTACATTACGGCTGTGTCAGTTCTAATTCCAGTGTAGCCTCTGCTCTGAGTTCAGGCTGACCAATCTGTCAGGTCAGTGAAATCGTGTGAAAATCCCTCAAACAGAAAATAACTCCATGTCTCAAAGTAACCTCTTGTCTCTCTTTCTTCAGCCTCGCATGGATCAGTATTTTAACCAGATGGAAAAAATCGTCAAGGAGAGGAAGACGTCGTCTCGGATACGGTTTATGTTACAGGACATTGTAGACCAGAGATTGGTGAGTGTGTGAGCGTTGTGATGCCTTTTTATGTTCAGGTCAGCTCTGGTTCACGATTAGGTTTGTTACATTGATCTCTCTGACCTCCTGCAACCTGATATTGAGTATTCTGCTCATATTCTGCTATAGTCTACTACTGCTCTTAGTACTAGACTCCTGGTACTAGGATGGGTTAAAAGCAGTGAACAAATGTCACTGTGCTCTGCATGTGTGACCATTAAAGAGGGTTCCATCCCTCCCAATATTGTATATTGTCATTGAGTTTCAACACCTTTTCAGAAAGATTGACAGGGAAAAATAACTGTTTAGTCAAATACACTGTAGAACCTCTTACAGCTGAGACCTATTATGCTTTTTGGGTATTTCCCTTTCCGTGCATGTTAATGGTTTGCAAAGGCTACAAAGTTCCCTCCAGAGGGAGTTTCTCTCCCACACAAATGTCTTCTGTGGACATTGTATTTAATATGTTCTTGTAAATGATCTTGGAAGCAGTTTAATGTATAATGTCAATTTAAAAATACAAAGCTACAAGAATGATAGCTACAGCTGGAGATGGTATGTGCCTTACATCTGATGCATTGTTCCTCCTTATGTAACAAAATGTACTTAATTTGTCCTGATCAGTTCAACTAAAAACATGGGTATTTCCTGGGCACCCAACAGAAGACGAAATGAGAACGAAGAAATACTGATTACAAATATCTTAACCTGCTTAGTGTCGTGTGAACGCATTTACATTAGAGGAACACCTGCATTGTAATTCTCTGACATTAACCTAACAAACAGAATCTGTGTGAATCAATGCCTCGGGGTGTTTCTCAATCTCGAGTACGCTTGCTTGGTAGCACATGTCTTCCGAGTCACTTGCTTCAGAAGCGAGGCAAGAATACTTCCTGGCATTCGGAAAACAAAGAGTGGAACAGGCGAGCAGGTGTGCATCACATGAGAGGCCCCGCCTTACATTTCCCGCCACAGATTTGGGGAAATTGGTCCGTGCACAAAGCATTGTGGGTATTTTAAGACAACGGAGTCTACACATGTGCAGCCTCGAAATGTCTCCAAACGAAGTACGCCGGGCTCGGTAGAATTCCAAGCATGCTGGACATTGGAACAGTACTTCGGCGGCACTCGATGACGTAGGTTGCTTGAAATAGTGGCTCTGGAGCAGCCTTACTCGAGATTGAGAAACACCCAGTGTCTCCTTCAAGACGCTGTAATCCCAGTTTGAAGCCCTGCTGTGCTGCAGTCTGAACATCAGCATTCAATGAAGGCTTGACATCTTTCAGTCACTTCAGATCATTGGCTCATTCATCAGTCTTAGAATTCAGATTATTCCTCTGCACTTGACAACTTCATATTTCTGCGCTGATATATCTTCTATGATAATACCCTACATCCCCCGATGTTTACGGAATGATCTGGACTCATTTGAAATGTTCCTGATCAGGAAAAGGACATGTTGGAAAATCTGACACTCCTGTTGATTACTGTTCTTATTCTTCAGCACAACTGGGTGTCCAGGAGAGCCGACCAGGGCCCCAAAACCATCGAGCAGATCCACAAAGAGGCAAAGATTGAAGAGCAGGAGGAGCAGAGGAGAGTGCAGCAGCAGCTTCTCTCCAAGGACAGCAAGAGACGGACAGGTCAGCCCGCCCCAAATCCTCTTTAAGGCTCACAGTGCTATCGGCACGGCTACAGCGAGTCAGGAAGCCTCTAACATACAGACACACTTCCTGCAGCCTGCAGAGATGCTATTGTGCCCAACAGCTGACAGGAAGCCCCCCCCACTCCCTCCCTCCCATCTGTTAGCAGGCCTTTTAATATTTCATCATGTTTAGCACGAAGGGGTCAAAAGCATCACACTGTCAGCTGTCTTTCAATGAATTCAAACGCTATTAGATTATCACTGATTATTATTTAATACAAATATATTTTATATATACTTCTGATATACTGAATCATCTTTTTATCTTAATACAATGTAATCATGGAACATAATATTAGAACATGGTATGTTTAATTTGTGATTGAAAATAAATAAAAGGACGTTTTCTCGTAAATATAAATGTTCTTCCGCCAAATGTACCAAAATGAGTTTGCAGAGGCACATCATATCATACCAGTCTTCTGTAGGTGGGGAGACTGGCTTAAGCCATTTCTTGTAGTTGCTTTTCTAAACAGCTCATTCTTTTAAATAAAAAAGGAAGGAGTGTTTTACATGTCCGTGTGTCGTAGATCCAAGAGATCAGAGAGATCAGCGGGAGCAGCGGGATCCGCGGGTGCCGAGAGAAGAGACCTGGAACACTGTGCCCGTGACGAAGAACAGCAGGACCATCGACCCCACCAAGATCCCAAAGATCTCCAAGGTGAGACCAGCTGCTTCTGCTCACAAAGATTCAAAGAGTAGGACAAACACACCTCTCTTCTAACGTCGTTTCACTTTGTTGCATCAGAGGAAGCCCAATTATAAACTCATCAAATCCATCAACACTTGAACAAAAAAAGTCTTGATGTGCCATTTTTCATGACACTGAGTCTTGGTTGAATGCTGTCAGCTCTGCCTTGTAATTTAATTAAATCTGTGCGCTTGTTCCTCGTGTCGTGACAAGTTTGTCTCACCTTCATCCAGTGTTTTTCCACTCCTGCACCAGTGGTGGTTGTTGTTTCAGTAGAAAAGTGTCTGTACACAGCAGATAAGTGTTTATACAGCACAGAGAGGAATCCTGTGTACTCGAACACTGTCCCTGCCCTCATCTGACCCACATCATTGTGGTGTATGTTCAGTTATGCACTCTCCCTCTGCTGGAATCATGATGAACTGCTTTGTAAACAAGACCTCCCCCTGCAGGAGGAATTTCACCATGCTGTAGTGTTGTCACGATACCAACATTTTGGTACCGATACCAATTCAAGAATTGCGATTCCGATTTTTTCTTAAAAAAAGGGAAACAGTCTTAAATGTAATTATTGTGCTTTATTTCACACCAGAACCAGAACCATAACACACACTTTTAAACAATGAGAACATTAAATAAAATAAATGACAAGAATTCGTATTAAATAAAATGAATACATGTCTTACAGACGGGCCTCGTGGTGTCCGTAGGCTTGCTCTCACTGTCAGAGATATAGCTCAAATACTTCCAAATTTCGCTTTTTTGTCAACAAGCCAAGGCGCAGCGGCAGTTGCACTCCCACTTGCAGCCATGCTTCTCATTTTCTCACATGCTCTGGCAGCTAGCGCGTGCACGAGAGAGGGGAGGCACTTAGAGCGTGCTTGAGAGGGGAGGGACTTAGAGCGTGCTTGAGAGGGGAGGGACTGCAGGCACGGCTGCAGTGCAGGGAGTGGAAGCAGAGCGCTGAACACACACGGCTTTTATTAAAACGGCGCTTTCTCACCGGAGTACTTTTCCCCGTCATTCTTAAAGTACTGATACTAATGAAACGGAGGAATCGTAATGTTTTTAACGGCAGGGTATCGCGGTACCTTTCAAGTATGGGTACACCGTGCAACAATAGTCAGGAGTCAGTGTTAGTCAGACTCGGGGAAACACTCACTTGTCTTTTATGACAAGTCATGTTATATGCTGCATACTACTGACTGTATTGTATGTGTTCTTGAGTAATATCTTCAGAGTACAAAGTTTAGGCAGATTGTTGGGATAAGGTATCACATGCAATCTTTATTTACACACATATGTGTATTATTTATGTCTACTCAGACATCATTATCTAGACAATCTTGTAGGTTTAAGTCGCATATCGTGTCTGAAATTATTTCCTCACTGAAATGATTTCCTCATTCGCCTTTGCTGTCAGTTTCCACGTCTGCTTGCAGCTCGTTCTTAAACTATTCTCTTCCTGCAGCCTCAAATGGATGAAAAGATCCAGCTCGGCCCCCGGGCTCAAGTCACGTGGGTGAAGGGCAGCAGTGGAGGAGCCAAGGCCAGTGACTCAGGTAAGATTATCTGAAGCAAGACCACAGTGGCTCCAAGCATTGCAGTAACAGGAATTGGCAATCTTTACAGGCCAGAAAAGACAGTGAATATTACATTACATTGCATTTAGCTGACGCTTTTATCCAAAGCGACTTACAATAAGTGCATTCGACCGACAAGATACAAATTTGAAGAAAGTGCTACTCAACTGGCTATAGATAAGATAGTCCTTTATTAGTATATAAGTGCTCTGTTAGCAGTTCTTTGTTAGTAATTCTATCACTCGAAGTGGAGTCGAAAGAGATGAGTTTTCAGTCTGCGCCGGAAGGTGTGTAAGCTATCTGCTGTCCTGATGTCAATGGGGAGCTCATTCCACCATTTTGGAGCCAGGATAGCAAACCCACGTGTTTTTGCTGATGGGAACTTGGGTCCCCTTCGCAGTGCGGGTGCAGCGAGCTGTTTGGCTGATGCAGAGCGTAGTGCACGTTAGGGCTGTGCATCTTCACTGGTCTCACGATTCGATTCGATTACGATTATCCTGTCAACGATTCGATTCAATTCGATATCCCGATGCATCCCGATGCATCACGATTCATACCAATGCGTTGCATCCTCAATTTTCTATATTACTGCACATGGCTTATTTTTTCATCAATGCATACATGCAGTAAATACATATGAACTCTCTTTTTATTATTTAGAAAGTGCTTCAGAAATCAATAACATAAATGTCTTGACATTCATTTATAAACCAAAATAAATGAATTGTATAGGTCTAGCCTCCCTATATCTGTGTGTGAAGTTGTTCCATCCTCAAAAACAAAAAAAGAATGCTTCTGCAGTCTAGCTGTAGCTTCTAGCAACGGCCTTCTGTTAAAGAAAGGACACTGAATGTCCTGAATGTGGCATCACACACAGGACTTGAGTCTGAACACAGCAGACAACAGGAGTATTTACAACAGCATATAACAACTAAAATACTGCATGTGGGTGCACACTTACATTCTCTGTCTTACTGTTACATAAATCCCATGAATGTATGAGATTAAATTAGCTTCATTATATCTCAGTGATTAAGTGAATAATAAAGTTTCTATCGGGTCACTATCAGCCTGTCACTCATTATTTGCAGGAGGGGCGGGGCTTGGAGGAACAGAGGAGACGGTGATCGCGGAAGCTTTTTTCCTCCTGCCTTCACAAACTTTACACAAGTATATATCGTCTGAAAATTGCTAGAGGACATTCATACTTTGCAATCCAAGACTTAATTAAATCCACCAAAAACCTGACATGATTGTAACGCGATTATTTTTGAAAAACATAAATCCCTGTGCCGCAGCGACACGGAGTGATTCAGAGCGGGTCCTTCTGCTGTTGGTTCTGGACTGGTGTTCTTGTGTTGGTGGATAAAGCAGACTGCTCCGTGTTTGGTGATGCTATGGCGCTGTCACGTCTGTTCCCTGATCTCTGCATCACCGACCGATTTGATATTAAAGTGACAGGAAAAAAAAACGTTATAGTAAAGCCGCGGCCGGAAAATCAGGAAGCAACATTACTACGCTATAACCAATTATCTTCCGTCACTGCATCGAGACCGAATCGTCCACGTCCGCATCGCAATGCATCGTAGAAACGATTATTTTCAACACCCCTACTGCACGTGCTGGGGTGTACGGTTTAACCATGTCCTGGATGTAGGAAGGGCCAGATCCAATCGCAGCATGGTATATATATAAATAGTTTATAACAGAGTTAGGTACATTTTGTATTGTGAGTCATAGGTGCCAATCTAAATATTCTTCATCACTCGACGAGGTCGATTGTTGACTGGTTCAACAAGCATCAACGTTTGAGTTGAAATCATTATAAACTTCTTATGCTAAATGGGTCATTAAACCTCTGTTTTTCCAACTGTATATTAAAATGGAAAGAGGTTGCATGTTTGTGTTATGATAGATGATAGATGGCCTAAATGTGAGGTTAAGATGTCAGCATGTCCTAACAATGTGAGGTGTTGTCCAATCATATCTGGAATGACATTTCATGTAAACAAAAAACAGAGAGGTTGATATTGTCAAGTATGATCATATTAGAAATTGAAATGAAACGCATTGTACAAGGTTTGTATAGTATTACAAGATATCAAAAGTCGGGAGGGAGATTTTCTTCCTCTAGATATATTAATCCAGAATATTTATTGTATATAAAGTGTTTTAAGTGACACATTCACTCTAATAATACCTGCTCATTTTGCTTTATTTGTTGCCCTTTATAACAGAACTATCACGGACGGCCGGCCTCAATCGATACTCTGCGCTGCAGTCTACTCCTTCCCCTCAACCCTCCACCACTCCTCCACAGAACACAGACTTTGACCCCAGGACAACTCTGGGAAGGTAAAGATCAACATCAATCAATTGTCTCTGACCTCTTGAGATTGGCCTCTCAGTGTGTTTCTGATGGTTTCCCCGGATACAGAAAACAGTTTCCTTTATTCCCCTCCAGCAGTCGTAGCAGTGTGGGGAAAGACCGCGTTGAGAAGCCCCTGATCTCCACCCCTCCATCGTCACGGCCCGGACCCTTCACCAGGGAAGGCAGTTCCAAGGAGCTGCTGGAGAGTCCGACCCCCGAGGAGCCGCGCACAGAGCCGGAGCGAGAGGGAGCCGAGCCCCGGAAACCGAGCGTCACCGAGGACAAGACGGAGCGCAGAGTCAGAGAGCCGGGTGAGGGGCAGAGCTGCACACTAATGTTTGAGCTCTATGATTTTAAGCCATGAACAGGTTTTATTTTATATCCAAAAATCTTGGATGTAATGAATGTATTAGCAACTGCAGGTTGAAAACAAAAGGATCAACTCCATAAAAGATATCAATTAGTTTATATTTTCAACAGACTGCTAATAATCTTTGATGATTATACTTATACTAATCTAAATAGAAGAATAAATGTGATTCATACAGAGAAGATCAGACCTGGATCTTCATGTTGCTCTCACCTCTGATGCCCCTTTCTCACCAACGCGGTTCCCGTTCTAGCTCCGTGCTTGCGCTCTTCTGGTTCGGAACCGGTTTTTCTTTTCAGCCCCCGTTTTGTTCACACCGCCCAGAGCCCGACTGGTGCTGCCGCGGCTGCGTCATGACGTCACCGTTTACGTCGCTGATTTTCTCCCCAACGGCGTTGGGTCGATGATCGTGTTGCTTTTAATCATACAAAGCCAGATTAAATTAAATAACGACTTCTCCAACCTTATACTTTTCTCCAGAGTGCCGTGGTTCATTGTTTATTAAAGTGTTTCAGCGGCATTTACCGCTGTTATGAAAGTTTCTCTGGTATAAAATGGGTGATGTTAGCATAGCAACCAAAGCTAAACTGACTATCTTGACTACTTGTTGCTATCCTATTGTGACATAATCCGTTTTCTACAGGCACATTTTACCAGCGTATTTTTCATTATGATTCTACTTGTGATAGTCGGACATGACAACCTGTGCAGCCCATGTATTGATTCCATCTGATAGCTGCTATAATACAAAACAAAACGTCTGCCTCTCTCCACAATGATCAATAACAGCGAACGGAGGTAGAAATAAACAGAATCACAAAGCCTGGTTATAAAGTGTGTTTTTTTTATAAGTGTGTGTGGTTGCGTTCTAGTCACTTTGCTCAGCGCTACTGCTTGTTACAACTTTCATTTTCCGTACTCGCCATAAACTGTTAGCTCAGGTTAATCCCGCCTCCGACGTAAGCGTGACGTATGCGGTTCTTGCTTCTAGGCCGACCATTTTTTGGAGCTCGGTAAGAACCGGTTTTCGCTGTGGTGTGAACAGAAAAAAACTGTGCTTATCGGGCTCTAGCTCCGAACTGGCTCTGGAACCGCGTTGGTGTGAAAGGGGCAAGACAGACACTGTTTTTATTGTCGTTTTTTTCCGATCAACAGTGAAAGCTGAGCCAGTGGTCCCGACTTCAGACAGACCTGCTCTCTCTGAGGAGGAGATCGAGAGGAAGTCCAAGTCCATCATCGACGAGTTCCTGCACATAAATGACTACAAGGTACCGACATTCACAAGAAGATAGGTCCAACATTAGATCCCTGTTTAGTAGGTGCCATGTTTGAATGTAAGTTAACAAACTTGGTGCTTAGAAGGATGTTAATGAGAAATCAATGATTGTTTCTTCTTTATCACTGAGCCTGCAACAATAACTAACAGAATTCAAAAGCATGTTGTGTTTCAGTCTCCCTTCTCTTACCAGTAATTAGGGATGCTCCGATCGCCAATTTTGGGGCCGATCGCCGGAATCAGTATCGGCCGATCCGATCGAGTGGGCGGGGCCTATGGGGATCGTCCATTTAAAGTGATGTTTACAACTCAGTTAATGGGACTCAGTTAATGGGACTCATTCACTGGCGCTTCCACAAACAACAACCAACATAATTATTACATTCAAATGAAGTACATTATTCAAGTTTACATTAACTTTATAAGCTCTCTCCCCCTCTCTCTCTCTCCTGACAGCCTGTCAGTATCTCATGCAGCTCACTGATCCAGTAATGAGTGACCCGACAGTGAAGAATAAATATATGTATAACTAGTTTAGCTAGTTCCAGAGGTAGATAAAACAGCTAAGTATGTTAGGTCTAACTCTTAGTGTGTGTGTGTTGCTCCGCTCACCGGTCCGTCACAGCGGGTGGAGCTGCAGGATTTCTGCTTCACACACGTTGCACACCGCTATTTTACTGTCTTTTTCGGACACCTTAAAATACTGCCAGACTGGTGAAGCCATTTTGGCGAGCTTGTTGTATGCCGCGCACAGAGAAAAGTCTCATGTATTTTACGTCATCATTTTACGTCACGTGATAGGCTCTCGCGATCGGCATTTTTAGAGAGCACCGATCGATCGGCAGAGAGTGAGTATCGGCCGATATCGATCGGCGGCCGATATCGATCGGAGCATCCCTACCAGTAACACTCATTCTGAATCCCATTCCCTTGTGTCCCCAGGAGGCTGTGCAGTGTGTAGACGAGCTGGACCTGAGCTCTCAGCTGCACGTGTTTGTGCGCATCGGGGTGGAGTCCACACTGGAGCGCAGTCAGATAACCCGGGACCACATGGGCCAGCTCCTCTTCCAGCTGCTGCAGCGCGGCATCCTGCCCAGAGCCCAGTTCCACAAAGGGTCAGTTCACCTGCTCTGAATGTACTCCACATCTCAATCAAGAACATAATGTGAACAAGGCTTGATCATTAACTCTCCAGAAAGCCTCTTTTGTTATTGTGTTACTGTCTTCCTAAATGATCTTAATTTACTTTCAGTCTCACTTCCCGTCAGCTTCATCAGACTTCATTGACATCTCTTGCAGCCTTTAGGGCTTTCTGTTCTGTATCCTGCCAACAAGCACTTCTTGCTTGTTTTTGATTTTGTTCAAAGTATCCATCGTCACCAATTAAAACTCGAATTTTGTCTGTATTGTTTGTCCGCAACTTTCTACCAGGAGATTGTCAGACCTGTTCAGTGTTTTGCTGAAAGTCTACCATAAAAGAAAAGTAAAATCTTGCATTGAAATGTTTTCACTAAAGGTGTTCCCCTGGGATCTGTCACTGGCTGTGTTGCTTTCCCTGAGTAACTAAAGATATATAGAAACTGAAAATAGGTCGGAGATGAATTTGGCCACGTTTTATTATTCTTTTAGAGAAATCTGTTTCAATGTGTTTCTACTGGAAAACCACTTGATGGTGGTTTTCCAGTAGAAACACATTGATAGGAAACGTCCGTATTGAAGGGTTATGTAGGTCATGTTGGACATGTAGGTCAAACATGTTGCTAATCTATATCAATGGGACACAAAAGGGGAAAACCCTATTTCATTTCTTTAGTGTACTCTGTAAACTTAAAAGAAAACACCATTGAAGGTTAGCTGTTGTTTTGATACTGTAAATCAGTTTACAGCTCTGTAAAACTTAAAAGCGTGTATCTGACATAATTTTAAATGAATTTGAATATAAATCAACATATTATAGGTTCTCAAATATAATCAAATGTGTATTTTAGCAGCTTTGTGTTTAATTTGTAGTTATACTTACAATGCATGTGCAATTCCAGTTGTCTCTTTCCAGAGTACAGGAACAGTAATATAGTTCTTAATATAAAGATCCAGTGTGTCTTTTTGTTGTAGCTTTGCGGACATGCTGGAGCAGGCGGACGACATGGCCATCGACATTCCCCACATCTGGCTTTACCTGGCCGAGCTGCTCAGCCCCGTGCTGAAGGAGGGGGGCTTCTCTATGAGAGGGCTCTTTAGGTTAGTCATTTACTCCAAAACTAAATGAGAACATATAATACAAATTAACTTAAATGTGGTGCATTTGCCATGGATAAAATGTGACCACTTGGCTCAATGTGCACAGGGTTGGTGGAGGAAGTAGCTAATATTTTTTTACTTTGTTTATCGTCACAGGACATCTGATCAATATTTTCATAATGAACAAAATTACTTAGTTGATACTTTACTTTTTTCTAGCTTATGTTATGGTTTCCTGTGCTCATTTCCGAGATACGTGTTTAGTCCTGTTTTGGAGACATTTTAAGTTTGAACAGGAACTTAGAGTTGCACAGTATAATGTATTAAGTGTGAGTGTCCTAATGTGAGATTTAACTTCGCCATTCTCCTGTATGAGTGAAAGGGAGGGTTGCATGTAATCTGTGGTCTTGGTCTGTTCCCAGTGAATTAAGCAAGCCTTTGCTTCCTGTGGGAAGAGCTGGGATCTTAATTTCTGAAATACTGCACATACTATGCAAACAAATGGTAAGCAACACTTTATTTTCAATTTTGTAATGATGTTACCTGCTTTCATTATGGAATGGACTTCTGGGTATTATTCAACAAGTTATTTTGCCGTTTGGATTTGTGGCCTGTTTTGGCACATTTGGCTTTCGGCCTGTCCTGGACACCAGACAGAAATAAGTTGTTTCAGAGAACAGATGTGCGATGTTGTCTCTTTGGTCTCCACAGAGCCATAGGACTGTGGGTTCTTTGTGGAGGGAATCTGGCCTCAACTGGACCGACTTCCTACCAGAGGGGGAGGACGTCCAGGCTTTCATCTCACAACAGGTTGGTTTTTGTATAATTGTATTTTACTGAGTGACTGGGAGTTACAAAGTTTCATATCTTTCAAAAAATAAATATATTTAAAAAAAAATTAAATACAATATTATAATGAACAAAATAATGAATACATACAAATATAATCAATAATAAATACATTTAATTAAGGAATCACAGGAAGACATGAAACAACAAAAATGTGCTGCTAAACAGTTGTCATGACATAATATTGCTTAAGATGGTACTGAGTGTTTCCTTGGATGTTGGATGATTAGATGTGTGTGGCTCCACTCTATCTACAGAGCTTCATCAAATGTGCCTCATATATTTGAAATTGTTTCTCCTTATTCCTGTCTTCTGATATTTCTTTTTCAATGTTCAAATAACATTTCATTCACTTTTTCCACTTTACAGTTTTCTTAATCGTATTGAATCCCAATAAGTCACCACATTATACTCCCGTTTTGGCACTTTCCCATCATACTGATGTCCTCTCGTCTTAATACAGAAACTCCAGTTTGTTCTGTCGGACGGCTCGAGTCCGGAGACGGCTCTGTCCGGAAGGATCTACTCTCCTGAGGAGCTGAGTCAGCAGCTGGAGAGACTCCTCCTGGAGGACATGGCCAGCGACGAGCAGATCTTTGACTGGGTAGAGGTAAGAGAAGTGGCAAAGAAAAACATTAAACCTTGTAAGCTGTGTGCCTTAATTCAGAGGGGTGGTCCTTTTATCAGTATGTGCTTTGTCTCTATATTTAACAAGCTAGCTAGTTATTATCTGCTATGTCACTTTTGCTGTAATGTTGTACATTTCCCGGCTGAGTGACTAATAAAGGAATTCTGATTATCAATGACAACTCTGACACTGAACCTTTTCATAGGCAGTTTTCAAAGCCATGTGAAACTGTATGTGTGTGTTTTGTCTTTCTCCCCCAGGCAAACCTAGATGACTCTCAGATGAGCTCGTCCCCCTTTCTGAGGGCTCTGATGACAGCTGTGTGTAAGGCAGCAGTGAAAGGTAAGCACTCCACCACCTAGAGGAGAGACTCGTCTAATTTTTTTAAATGGCGCCGCTGATTGCAATATTTACTCTGTGCCAAACGTGCGCTCACTCTGCCTCTCGCTTCACCGAACAGATGATAACACCAACTGTCGAGTGGACACGGCCATCATCCAGAGGAGATTGCCTGTATTACTCAAGTACCTTAACTCAGACACTGAGCGACAGCTGCAAGCACTTTATGCACTTCAGATGCTGATCGTCGCACTCGATCAGCCTCCAAGTAAGTGCTGCGTCTCAGCTTCATCAGGAGGAGGTGGGAGGAGGAAACTAAGATTTATATTCCTTCAGTTTAGTTTTTTTTGTCGTTTTTCAAGTTATAACATTCAAATACACATAATAAATCAAATGTATAGTCTTTACTTTTTAAGTTGCGTCAAACCATATCAAGTTTTTCCTGAGCTAAAATGTTATTACACCTTTTTTAAATGAAATTTAAAAAACTAAAACATATATATGCATAATAATCCCAAACCACATTAGTGTTCATACCTGGTTTTTATATTTGTTAAACCAATCATAGTACCGATCATGACCAGTAAATGGATGTCCGCATGTCTACTGTATTTCCACTACAACAAACATTAGGAACTATCCTCAGAGAGCTTACAGCATTGGACAGACGGCACAGTATTCACTAAAGCCAGCATTTTAATAATGACATGCTAATATACACAAAGTACCATAAATACTAAAGCTCAAAGCAGTAACAGAGTACAATAAATGTGCATTAATAATTATAGAGTAAATCACAATCCAAACGAAAACATTTACCTTAGAGGGTACAAGTAAAAAACCTTCAGGGAAATGTCGACTCGACTCCACTTCGAGCGATAGAACTATTAACAAAGCACTTATATACTAATAAAGGGCTGGCTTATCTAAAGCCAGTTGAGTAGCACTTGAAATGTTTTAGCTCTATGAAACCTGATGTACTTATATGATTCCGTTTTCTTCAAGTTGGTCGAACGCACTTATTGTAAGTCGCTTTGGATAAAAGCGTCAGCTAAATGCAATGTAATGTAAAAATGTATTTCTTTTAAAGCTCTGAGATGTGAAACAGTTCTCCTCCAGAGGGCATCACCTCAGAGGGGAGCATCTGCACCAGCAGGATGCCTCCACTGGAACTTTTGAATGAATGTAATAGATGTTCAGAGGGGGTTACTGCAAAACTCAGTTGAATTCATTGACACATTTTTTTTTTCTTTTTTCAATCTTCTCAAAAATGGACCGACTTTTAATAAAACTTCTTCAACTTAAAAAAAACAATCGAGATGAGGTTTAATATTATGAACAAAAAATCACATTTGCACAAAACTAAGACAAGTAGCTGACAAAGTTAACACCGCTGGTCTCTTTGTGTTGCAGACCTCCTCCGGATGTTCTTTGACTGTCTGTATGACGAGGACGTCATCTCGGAGGACGCTTTCTACAAGTGGGAGACGAGCAAAGACCCTGCCGAGCAGGAGGGGAAGGGAGTGGCCCTCAAGTCTGTTACGGCCTTCTTCACCTGGCTGCGGGAAGCGGAGGAGGAGTCGGAAGATAATTGACGAGGGACACACCCGGGGGGAGGGTGGGGCAGGGCGTAGAAGAACTGCATACTTACAGCAGAACAAACAAACTTTCAAAATGGGTGTATGGGCAGGACAACATGTTTTACGGCTGGAATTTTTTTCTGCGGTACAGTTCTGAAACATGCCGCCATTTTGAGTTTGGATTCCAACAGCTGAAGCACTAAATACCTGTATTATAAATAGAAAATATTTTTGTTTTAAATTTTAACTTACGTTTGTTTTGTTACTTTTTAAGAAGAGACTTAAAAGATACATAGGTTCCGGACTCTTTAATTTATTATTTTTTTAAGGACTGCAAATATGAAAGTTATTTAACATTTGCAGATGCTCACAAATGAGAACAACAGAAATAACAATATAATTAATTATAATAACAAAATAATAATTGTGAAATAAATAGCCTCCCTGGATTCCACACTGTTTGGTTTAAAACAGGGTAAACAAAGTTATTTTGGGATGAAGGGGAAGCAGAGATAAAGAAGAGTGGATGCACAGAAACTATTAACGTTGTCCGTGTTTGACATTTCCAGGTCCAAGTCTTCTCCTAACAGGCAGAAAGTGTTTCCCTCAGCCTTGGCTTGCTCTAAGTTGATATACATAAGCCTCATGACAGGTTAGAGGTATGCATTCAAGAAGCGATGCAGGTCTGTCCACAGAACTTTCAAAACAAACGCAGACGAACAAACCGGACACATTCAAATGAAACGAGCAAAAAAGGCAACATTAAAAAGCAAATGGCCAGGGTCGTTCAACGTGAAATGCTTGTAATACTTCAAACTACAGAGCAGATAAAACTTGTAAATACATTAAAGACAAAAAAGGTATTTAAAAAGTGATTGTCATGATTTGTTCTTTTGATTGTTGGTGTCAAAATATATGTTGCTATATTTGTTTCTTTTAGTCCCTCTGATACAAATGAATCTGTGTATTTTCAGTTTTTCCCTTTTTGGACAGCCGGTCCTCAGAAGAAGCTGAAGGATGTTTCAGAGCAGCTCCAGGCACTGATTTGTTCACCTGATCCTTTAAAGCATAAATTGTTATTTAAATATGTTACCTCTCTATCATTGCCAGAGCTTTAAAATACTTGTGGCACTTAATTCTGGCTCACATTTGCTCACAGTTCTGACTATATTTTGTGTAGACCCAGTTGAGTAGCATGTATATTCATGATAAGCGAGTAGTTACATGGTTATCTGATCACCAAATCTGTCCTGACCGGTCTCTGGAGAAGTGTCTTTACAGTAGTTTACTTTTTTTGGGTCACACAAAAAGCATTTTAAGGTACCCACAGTGAATGGTGACCGAAACTGACCAAGTAGCACAAAGTTCCAGCTTCACAATTGTAATTAATTGCTGCTACTCTGTTTTTGTGCTATAAGGATAAAAAAAAGAAATATTATGAAGTCAATTTAGGACGATGTGACAGCCATCTTTCACAATTTTCAAAAAATAACAATAATCCAGTAGTTGTGAAATAATTGGTTGATAAGTTAAACGTGAACATAATAATTACATTATGGTCCAAATTTAAACTACAAATAATGATCAGGGTATTAAGAACATTGAAGTATTTGTTAAGCGATAATTTTCTTGGTTTTTTCATTAAGGGCTTAATTTAAAACTTTCCACAAAGATGACAGGATTTTTCTAATGTTTAAATGTCTGTTTTACGATTAATGTGTGACCAATAGCCTACTGGTATTCATAAGAGCTGCGTTCCTAGTCGTTTTCACTTTTTGTTTTTAGATGACTACATCTCCCATGAGTCTTTGCCATGCACTACTATCGAAAACATGAGAGCTGTAGTCTTTAATACACTACGTTAATAATTGATTTATCTTGATTAAATTCAAAGTGTGCTCGAATTATATTGACCTGTACGGTAGAACATGTGGAATCGACTCAAAATATGGAAGTATTACTTCGATTGTAATGTTTATAGAAATACTTTAAAAGATAAAAACGTTGGTTTACTAGCTAGCCTCGGTGAAAAAGTACAATAAATGTAAACTGTTAATGACGGCGGCCATGACAGTAGGGATCCTTCGACGTGACGCTGCGTGACCAACGGTCTTTGGGGCGGGGTTCATAAACGGAAATCTAAATAAAGGATCGTGCAGAATTTTCTTCAAAGTAACACACTTTTTCTCCACTAGTAAAAGGTAAGTTGTATTCGCGTTATGGTACGTTACTAGCTCAATGTGTGTTTGCACGGATGCGAAGCTGGAGAAAAGCGTAGGCCGGTGTTTTTCCCCCCATGCAACTGAAATGAATTTTATCTGCTTTGTGCGACGCCATTACTCTGTGTATACCAAACGGACAAAATGGCGAAATTGCCCTAACATTTCTGGCTCACGTGAAAAATGTTTGAAATATATCGGCATAGGCTGGAGGATAAGCTGGACAGCAGTGCATGTCTTGAAGTGGCTGCATTTTGTGAAAACACACTGGCGCTTTTTCTTCTGTTTTAATGATAATGGGCCTCAATGAATGAAGTGGGTTTGGCAGTGTCGCCATGTTTATACACGCACGTACACAGAATGAGTCTAAAAAAAACTGTGCTAATGAGCTGTCCTCCTGGTTTGTGGATACATTTTTATTTTCCTCACCCAGGCAAAGCTGGTGTGATGCCGATACGCCGAGCAGCAGCGTCTTCAACCGCGGAGAAGGCCCCCTCCGCTGCAGCAGAGGAAGGTGAGGCTGGGGTCGTCCATCACCTGAACTAAAGACCCGTGAACGCACCGTCATCACTGACACAAAATTAACTGGCAGTCCAGTGTTCAGCTCATGAGTAGGCATGCAAAGTTGGTTTATGCCAACGTTTCTGGACCTGAGAAGTGTCAGAATCAAACAATGCAATATGTTTGGGGCTTACATGCAGAGTTTAATTACAGCAGGTTAAAACAATATATTAGAGAAACATTTGTATGTTTGACAAGCAGCAGGAATCAAATAAGGGAGTTATAAATAATAAGGAGAAATATCAATTAATATTGTATTTCAAATAAGCATTAGTTGTGTATTTGTGAGATATTGCATTTTCGTAAAAGATATTGGGAATCACGGGAGTAGTGATTTAATGTGACACACCTAATGACTTTATGAAACACAGGTATTTGTTTTGCATTTATTAATAGTCCATCTGACATTAACACAAAAGTGATTAATCCCTATTTATTGTTTCAAATACTATTATTTATGTTTTACACCACATTTTTACGTCATAAATAACAGCCATAATTATTTGAATGTATGTAATCAAAAATAACTAACTTTTTACTTTTACAATGAACTTTTACAAAAGACTATGTGTGCCCCTTTAAATATCTACTTACCACTACAGCTAGCTGGCCCTTCATGGCTTAACTACAACAGATAATGGTCTATCAGTAATAACAAGTCCAAGTAGTTCACAACAGTATGTAAATCAGTCAAAACAAGGAAAATCACATGCCGAAAAAACTAATTATTTTGCATCAACCTGATCAGTGGCATAAGCATTCAAGGTCCTTTAAGTGCATTTTTTATAACGAAATACATTTATGTGCACACAAAACAGTTTTCAACCAAAACAAGTTGCTAACATTTATTTGTGGATGTTAACAGGTATTTATAAAACCATTTACATATTACTTATACATATTTAACTGACTTTGCCATTCAAAAATGCTGCTGTAATGGCTTTTCTTGATAGAGGTGAATGACATTTTTCATTATTAATTCCTGAAGGAGAACAAACTAAATGGGAGGATGTTTACGTAGTGGAATAATCAGTCAACTACATTTAAAAAAAACAGCATTTGTTGGGTTTTTCTTTTGCTAAATTTCAATGGTTTCCTCCTCCTCAGAGCCTGAAGCGTCCTCAGAGGAGTCTCCCTCCAATGAAGATGAGCAGGCTGCACCCTCAGCTACGCCCGACCAGGTGACGGATGGCGAGGCGGCGGGGGACAAGGAGCCCACAGAGAATGGAGAGGAGGCTGAAGGAGCCACGGCAGAGAAGGGAGGAGGAGAAGAGACGGATAAGAAAGAGTGAGTTTCACCAGAGAGCTAGTGTAACTCTGAACGCTGCGATATTTCACTCTGATAGCACTTTTATCTGTTTACATGATCCTTACCTCTCCTGGATAACAGTAGTGTTGCATTCCCAAAGGATGTGACCTGTCACAGCCACATTCATGAGAAACATTCCAGACAGATGTAGCCGTCCCTTTGTCCGCAGTCTCGGAGGAGTTCAGGAGGAGAGGGCGCAAGGGTCATGAAAGTCTGGCGATTTGATTCCAGCTCAGTCCACATATGAAATCTAAAACAACAGCTACATGCAGAATGCTGCTTAAAACATGTTTTATTTGCCGTCTTATTCACACAAAAAAGTTCAGAATGTTCAGAAAAAGTTTTCAGTTTAATTTTAGATTATCAAATAGCTCATCTAAACCATTATGGATAGATGTTCTTTTGACTATTTCTCATAAAGAAATACTTAGATATTTAAAGTCAACAATTGGCAGGGGGGGGTAAAACTCCAAATGTAGGTGATAAAGTATAAACAACATTTAATAACAATACCCCCCAACTTCTCCTCCCTTTCTTCTCCCAGACCTCGACAAAGCAAACATTTACTCTTGTGCACGTAGTACACTAGACTAGCGGTTCATGTAGGGTCAAATTACCATGGTGATCATTCAGACAGATGTTCTCAAACTTCATTTTGTCTTTTCCGTCGGTGACAAAGGGACAAATGCAAGGACTGCGCGGCTGGACAGTGTGCAACACACTGCTATGTTCTCCTACTAAGGTGAGGATGTGATAAAGATAAGGGTGGTAACGATCACAGTGAAATATCGCTTCTAAAAGAAGGAACCTCTTCACTGACCTCGTGTCTTGCTCCTCATCTTTTTTGGTGGCAGGTTGAAGGATGGCTACAAGTACAAGAAAGGGAAAAGCAAGAAAGTGAAACGGACCATTCCTGCGTGGGCTAGCGTCACTGCCAGCAAAAAGCTTCCTGTTACCAACTATGCAGGCACTCAGAACAAAGTGAATGATATCCTCATCGAAGCGATCACGGTGTGTACGAACTCCTTAAATCACCTTTTCGTTCGTTTTTTCTCTTTTTGTTTAACGACAACCTTTGTGATATCTTGTCCTCTTTCTTTACAGTGCTGTAATGACAAGTCCGGTGTTTCATACCAGTCCTTCATGAAATATATTCTGAAGAAATACCCCGAGATGGACATTCACAAGAAGAAGTTTCTCGTCAAGAAAGCAATGAAGAAACATTTGGAAAAGGGCACCATCAAACAGGTAAAGAATGTTATCAGGGGGTATTAGGTTTAATTAGTATTTTAATAATATAGATACATAGCTAAAGCATGCAGTTTAAACATAGACATTACCAAAATCATTTTTTTCCCTCCTGGAACATTAATTAGACACTTGAAATACAACTGAACCATAATTTTCATTCTAAACTCGGTGGCTATCCAGGATATCGAGTTTGACTGGTTTTCTTGGATTGTAAACTATCTCAAATCCACTAAAGAGCAAGATAGAGCTGCTAATGTTAACCTATAGCCTGATAGCATCCAGGTTCAGCTCCCACACATACTATTGGGATGTTGTAGATGTGAACAGACTTTATTTCAGTGTTACTAACCTAAAAATAAGGCACTATGTAGCATTGGGACCATGTGAAAATGTTCAAAGTTATGTTGGCCAAATAATGCCATACACAACATTTTCCCTATACCCTTCAAAATATGCATACAACTTTTTAAATTGTACTAAACTAATGTTGTAAAAGAAACACATATTTGTATGGGGGGAAATGAAACTTTAAT